TAATTTTAAACTTACAATTTATTTACAATATGAAATGTTTCTATATTAGGATACTTTTTCAATCTTTCCCTGGGAATTGGTGTAGATCCTTTAGGATATGAAAAGTATCATTTGTGTTATGGTCATTTTTTGGTTTTTTTTTTAGTTTCTTTAATAAAAACATAATTTTTCCGAGTTTGCTTTTAGATATTACTATTTTAAAAATTATTTTTACTAAACAATAATCCAAATGAATTGTTCATGATTTATGCAGGTATTACTATAATTGCTCGCTCTACCTGCGCCTTTGTTTGTGTTTGCATGCAATTATAGCATTTCCCATCGATTAAACGCATGTTTCTACCACCCGCCCCTGATGATGCCCCTGCCCCGCGGTTGCCGCCTTCTAGTTTTGCCTTTGACTTCTATTTTTAAACATATTCGCACTGAAAAACAAAAACAGAAACAGCAACACAGACCCAAACACGCTGGCTGGCGGCCGCCACACGAGCAACTAAAACAAATTGTCTTCTGCATTGCATGTACTGCAGTATTAACCAGATAAAGAAATTGGAATAGATCTATATTTGTTTTATGCAAATGTGTAGCAAACAAAACAGACAATGTTTATGTCATTATGGTGCGCCAACTGTAAATAGTAATCTGAGCAAGGCGGTCGAAAATGGAATGAAAATATACTATATATAGCCTCGCATGGAAAAAACATTGTGGTGGGCGTTACGTATGTATTGAGGGGTCTTAAATGTTGTGGGAGAAGTTTTTATGAGGCAGCTAGAATTTTGTTTAAATTAATGGAGGAGCCATCACGGGAAATGTTTGGAATTTCAATAAAAATATATGAAGTTTATCCCTGAGAATTTAATTGATTTAGTTTGAGTATGAGGTTTGTGATGTCTATTAAACCCTTATTTAGATTTATTGTAATGGTATTTATTTATTACAAACATGAAAAGATCAAGGTGAAGGTTATATTTATTTAAATAGCATTGGTTTGATTGTAACAAAACATCATTCTCAATAAAAGATTACGAGTCTGCGTCAAAATCCTTTCTTCTGTCCCAAATTCAAATCTTTTCGGCTCATTTATGAGATTAAAAAACCTATTGATAAAGCATTTGCTGATTTTTGTTAAACAATTCAAATTCTAAAATGGATCTTTTATATTTTCAGATGATGTAGACCGCCTAAAGCCACAGAAGCGTGGATTTATCCAATCTTTGCTCTGCTGCTGGCGAAGAAACCGAACAAAAACCAACCAGAATGGCACACAAATCGATGGTTCAACAACACCGCCACCGTTACCGGACCAACAAAGGTACCTACTACCTCAGGTTAGGCTCACCGATATGCACAGAAAATGCATGGTTATCGATTTGGATGAGACCCTAGTGCATAGCAGTTTTAAGGTGAGTTACTCTGCAATTAAATCTTTGGAAAACTTATTGAATAATGGATCATTTATAGCCCATACCGAATGCAGATTTCATAGTACCAGTGGAGATCGATGGGACCGTACATCAGGTGTATGTCTTGAAGCGACCGCATGTGGACGAGTTTCTGCAAAAGATGGGTGAACTGTACGAGTGCGTTTTGTTCACAGCATCACTAGCCAAATACGCAGATCCTGTTGCCGATCTGTTAGACAAGTGAGTGATAATTGGTTTAGAGGATAATTAGATAAATAAATAAGAGCCAGCCATCTGATTTAGCTGGTCAGTAAACTAGCCTTTGGGACTTTCACATACAATTCAGAGGTTCAGAGTATAATAATTTTGTGCCAACGCGTATAATTAGTACATAATAGTGATCAGTCACCAAGCGAGTCGATTTAGCCATATCCTTTCGTTTGATTTCCTCAACCTGATAGACTATTAAGGGCTAGAGTTCCGAAATTTAAATTAATAAATTAATTATGATCATTCTATTTCAGATGGAACGTGTTTCGTGCAAGACTGTTTAGGGAATCATGCGTTTATTACAGGGGTAATTACATTAAGGATCTGAATCGTCTGGGTAGAGATCTGCAAAAGATTGTCATTGTGGACAATTCACCGGCCAGCTATATCTTTCATCCAGACAATGCAGTCAGTATTATGAACCTAACAAAATTAAGATATCCGATTTAATATGTTTTTCTGTATCTTAAAGGTTCCTGTTAAATCCTGGTTCGACGACGTTACTGACTGTGAACTGCGCGAACTGATACCGCTGTTTGAGAAGCTCAGCAAAGTGGATTCCGTCTACTCGGTGCTCTGCAATTCGAACCAACCGCTGAACAATCATCAGGCCAATCAGCACCCCCAAGAGCTCCAGCAGGCGCCGAACCAGCAGCAGAAGCAACAGACCATCTCTGCCACGACAGTTATTACCCAGGCAACCACGCTGTCTGCCCCGACCATGTTGAACCAGCAGCAGCAGCTGCCCAGTCCGCCCAGCCCACAAAGCGAGCTGCTGCAAAAGACGTAACATCAGTGGGAACTAATGTTTATAAATATATGATAAATATGTATACATATTACAAGACCAAGCGAGCCGACTATGCAAGCAAAACAAACCTAAAACCTAACCCCCATGCTCTTCACACTCATTAACCCGAGTTGAAACCAACTACCATTCGCTATGTACTACATATAATCCCCTGCTCGATACCCCACATAGGCTAAGCATAAGTTTTATATTATGATATACATAATTTTTACGGAACCCTATTTACACGGCACATCAATTTGTTATTTATTCTTTGTTTTTTTGCTCTACCAATTATAATTATTATTTTTTTATTATGTGTGTTTTTTATAAACAACTGCTAAATGCTTAATGCGGTCTACCCCCATCTAGGGGGTATTTACATATGTAATAAACCCATATACATAAGTCTCCTATGTATACCCAATAATCATAAATAATTGTGTAAGCGTGTATTTAATGAAACAAAAAGGAAGAAACAACTGAGCAAGCAAAAGATTTAAATGCATAAAAACAAAAAAATGATAACTATATACATATGAGCAGAGAGATAAAATCAAATTCAAAATATAGCTATATTTATATATATATTTTTTATTAAAAACTGCAAAAAAAGAAAACAAAAAGAAAACCTAAAACAAAAAAAAAAAATATATATAATATGTGTACTAAAAGAAATTTATATATATACAATACATGGATATATACATATACATATATATTTAAGGCATGTGTCTACACATGTTCATATATATATATATATAGGCACCTAAGGCACATGTATAATATTTCATATATTTATTGATGAATTAAGGTTACGCGCGGGTCTGCCCACTTGCCTACTCGCGCTTGATCGCTGCTGGCACTGTCAAAGTTGGGTTTATCGCGGGAGTATATTGCTGCTTCGTCCAAAGACCTCTTAATAACAAGATGCATAATTGCCATACATTTGTCATACGCAAGCAATTTTATTGCAAGCGGGATGCACGTAAAATTGGATGCAAAATCTATTACGTCGTTACTCATCTTGTTATTATACGGTCTTTGCTTAGCCCGCTTCACACATACACATTCTGGTTTCCTGAAAATGTCTGTCAAACGCGAGTTAGGTCGGGCCGCGCGGTTTAAACAAGTTTTAGTTGCAAGTGTGTAAATCATAAAAAAGAAGGAAGAAAAAATATGCGGCTCGTCCGTAGCTGTAGTTTATACATAATGAATGAAACTGCGCTTCCCCTGGCACAAAGTCACGAAGTTTCGATTAAATCCAATCTGGTATTAAGATATTCTACTCTGTGTGTCACCGAAAATTCCTGCCTTTGTGCCGTTGCGCAAGCACAGAAGTTGCAACATTTTACTCTAGGCTTAAATGGAAAATTATACATCCATATATACATTTTAACCAATTTATGTTAATTTCTCCCTTTCTTATCAAGTGCGCTTATGAAACGCATTGCAATATATACACACACCTCCTTTTAACCTATTTTAATCCATCTTCAAACTTGAACTTCCCCTTTTTCGGCCGCGTTCTGTATTCTGTGAAATGTGAATGAAACCAAACACCTAAAGCTTCTTTCAACTCCGACCAAATATCAATCATATATATTTAAATATATATATAGTATATATATTGAGAGCTCAAGCTGGCCACGCCGAAATCCCACCTGATGAATATACATTATATATACACATAGACAAAAGACGCTATATTGCTATCCGCGAACACACACAGAGACCAGTCCAGGACGGATCTTCTTTCAATCTTTTACTATTTTACTCTATACTATATCTATATATGTGTAATGTCTTGTATTTTCTCAACTAACTTTTACACCACAACAAATCTTTGTTTAGTGCCTAAGCTTTTGTGTTTCATTTTCTATTTTGCCCACACTTAAAACATTAAAATTGGAAGGAAACAATTGGCCCGTTGCAAACGCGCTCGATATTCTCATTTTTTTTGCAAATCGAGCAACTAAATTAATACATAATGCTTAATAATAATATATGTATTGTATATCATTTACACCTGCTGCTAATGTCTAAAGCTAAAAAACAGAAGATTGCAGCTAAAATCACGAACATGAAATGTAAAAAAAATGCAAAGTAACTGCATATATATATTTATCGGTTTTACTTTTATTAAGAGGAGAACTACCATTCAACTTAATTTATCATTAAAGGGAAGCAAATTATATTTTTAAAGTGAAAGCCTATAAGTGTAATGCATCAACAAATAGAAAACAAAAAACAAGGATTAAGAACCACAAGAAATGAAATTTAAAATCTACAATAAATATTATGTCATCAAACAACAATAAAAAACAAAAATTAAAACCCAATTCGGATCGAGTTTTATTTACATTTATTATTTATTTATCAAATCTGAATTAACGGTTGCTACTAAAAAGAAACTATTTCGTTATGTTTGCTTGTGCATGGCAGGTAAAGCGGGGAGAAGATAGGGCTGGGCCGGCTTTCGTTCTGCGAGCTCTAAAATTTATTGATTAAATTGAAACTCATTATCCATCGGCTTTTTGAATTCGGAATAAAGTGTTCTATTTATTATTCAAATTTGTTGTTTAACTCACATTGTTACACATACATACAGACAGACAGACACCTCTTGTCGAGCTCACAACTTCCATCGTTTTTCTACACACTATTTAATACATTCATTATTATATATCTTTAGTTAAATATATATATATATTTGTCTTGAACTTAGCCGCTAAACTAAAGATGTAGGCAATGGGGTTGATTTTTGCTTGGTATTCATCGTTAAATAGGCCAAAAAACACTTAATTATTTAATTATTATATATTTTATTGAACATGCTCGCTTGTTTAGATCTCGTTCTTCTTGTTCGGGTTAGTCTTTTGAAAGCTTTTTGCGCGCGAAAGGAATATACAAAATGGATTTGAAACAACTATATATAACTTTCTTAGCAAATCTCGCTAGCCTCGCCTCGTTATCAAGTTTGTATAATCTCAAATACAAAATACATCGAAAAAGTGGTGTCTGAGTGTGGGCTTTATTAATATTTCGTTATGTATCAGTAGTTGAAAGTGTGGTTTGCTTAGCGATTCTTCGATATTAAGATTGGTTTTGTAGATTTCGTTTGAATTTAAATATTTTTAAATGCATTTAAGTAACGTGTTTTCAATTACAAACATTTCTTCGTTTCTCCTTGATCTCGTTCAGGTTGCTGAAAATTCCTTTACATTATAAATATACCATTTCATAGCTATATGTAAATATGCAATTTATTTATCAAGTTTGCTTTGTGGCTGCACTTTAACATTTCCTTACTTAAATGATTTCTGACTAGACTAGTGCATTAATTAGAATTGGATCGCATTTAGAATTAATTATTTTTTTATTTGTTTAAGCAAAGTCCTTATAACGACAAGATGAGCAACACCATACGATTTTTGTTCATTTGAATTGTTGAATTGAACGTAGAGTGTATGGCCGTTACGCATCTTGTCATTAGAAAGACTTTTTTTTAAGTATTGCTAGTGTTTGGGATCAATTGGTTAATTTGTTTGTCTTTAAGGAGAGCCTTTTTCGTGTGTTCTTGTCCCTGATGTCGATCCTAGAGAGAGCAGAGTAGTCAGCGTCTAGAAGGAGTACGTACGTGAAGGCTACGGAATCCACCGAGTCTTCACTAATACTTGATATATTCTTACTCTAAAGTGTAATGCTCACCGCCTAGGACAAACCTCGACCACTTTTTCGTGTGCGCTTTACAATTTGTTAATATTATCTCAGAGGGTGAATAATATGGGAATCTTGAATATATGTATGTATATTGCACGCTTGCAACGAGCTCTCCTCTCGTTTTGATTATTTCGGTTGCATTAGAAAATTTGATCGGTGTTCATTTGCTTACGTTTTTTTTTTTTTTTTTTGCATTTATGTATATGCTTATGTTTTTGGTATACAAATACTTTTTAAAGGGACAAACAGGGTACCGGGATACGGGTTTCGTGTGTACTTTCGGCTTATGATCGAAGTGATCGAGTTAAGTGTAAGAAATACGCAGAAATGTACAGAGTAATTACAAGTAATACATGCATAGTAAGTATGTACGTATGTATGTGACGGTCCAGCTATCCGTCCCATATCCGATATCGGTCAGCAATGACGCTTCTGTCTTGGTTGTGTGGGTATAACCCCCCCTTGCGAATATGTAACTCATTAGCAGCAAATCAGCGGGGAAATAAAACGGGAAAGGGGCCTGGGAAGAAGCTAAAGCGGCTGTCCTTGTTGTTAAACATGCGCTATGGGCATCTGAAGCGTCTTCGCATCCCGATAAGACTTATCCTACACATACTGATGGTCGCCGCCACTCATTCCGTCTGGGCAGTCCACGCTCAACAGGGGCTCCTTCTCGATGGTCTGATGCGTCTGGGCGTCGTAGTCGTAGTAGTTCATCCAGTCCACCCGCCGCGGCTGCACCAATCCGAAGCAGCTGCACTCAAGGAAGTCCACCAGGTTCTGGAAGGGACCTCGCGTGAATGGACTGTGGCCGCCCTTGGCCTGGAAGTGGCGATAGCGTCCGCGATTCATTCGCTCGTTGGTGGTCATGCCCAGGCAAATCACTTGATAGGTCTGACAGATGGTCAGCAGGATCACCCAGGACATGTGCAGCAGGGCGTTGCCCATCACCCAACCCACCCAGGCGTCACAGTTGCCAATGGCCCGCATGGCACCAAGGAAATCTGCAAGGAAATCAAAATAAAACGGAGTTTCGCAATAGAAATTCTAGAGATAACCTCACCATCAAATCCCACATTGCACTGATTCACATAGTACTTGGAGCCGCCGTAGAGCATCCAGGCGCACATAATCAACAGCATCCAGAGGAAGCCCATGAAGTAGCTGTGATTCTTCAGCCCAATGCAGTTGCCCACCCAGGGGCAGTGGTGGTCGAACCTCGCCACACAACGATCGCACACGGAGCAGTGCTTGGAGCGAATGGGCCGGCGCACCAGGCAGCCGGAGCAGAAGGAGGCGGGCTCAAAACCAATCCCACCTCGTTCCGACAACTCAATGATGGTCTAAAGAATGAACAGAAATAATATGAGTACCTTTTGTGACAACTTTAGGAATGCTCACCTTGAATCGCTGCTCCCTGGTGGGTCGGATGATGCCTGGATCTCCCTTCCACGACTTGAGGAAGCACACCCACAGGGCCAGCGAGGAGATCAGGAAGAGAACGGTGGCCGTAAAGGAAACAGCTTCATTAATGTACATCAGCCAGGTGACATAGAACCAGGCCTTGGTGGCCAGGTAAACGCTCAGCGGCAGCAGGGCCATAAGGTGCTCATCGAACAGGGTTTTGCCAATCGAATGGAATATGGCGTATAGGACGCCCAGCAGGAAAAACTTGATGATGTACAGTGTGTTCACGGTGAAAATGATTCCCGCCAAATAGAAGGCGGTAAAGGGGCAGGCCACCATCGACCACCATCTCAGGCGTTTATCGTGGCGCAGCTTGGATACTAGCGAGCGCCGTTGCAGCGAGGTCAGCGCCGCTTCTTTCACTCGATCCATGACCTTGGCTCCTATCCAAATGGCTCCCGTTTGGGACTCCAGCATGGAGAGGGGCGTTTCGCCCCGCAGATTGGGCACATCCAGCGAAGCCTTCGACTTGAGCACCAGCGTGGAAATGGCCGTGGCATTCCTGGCCAAGATGGCCCAATGCAGGGCCGTGTTTCCATGCGTATAATCAACCATGGCGGGATTGGCTCCAAGGGTTAGCAGCAAGCGCACAGGATCCAGAGCGCAAACCTGCAAGGGTTAGAAATATAAAAGTTTTACAAGGAAAAACATGGGATTTCCCAAAGCTTATATTTGCTTATGAGGTATAAAACCCACCTTCCATGCCGCCCACATAAGAGCCGTCATTCCGCCGCGATCCTGTAAATCCGGGTCCACGCCCTTCGCTATAAAGTAGGCCACCAGAGCGGTGTGTGCAAACTGAGCGGCGATGTGTATGCAGGAGCAGCCTTCGGCATCCCTGATCCTCGGATCGGCTCCGGCGGCCATCAGTAGAACGACAGCGCCCAGATGGCCCTGCCGGGTAGCCCAGTGCAGCGGAGTGGCGTTCAGCTCACCACCAACGGCGTCGACGGTGGCGCCCTTCTCCAGGAAGTACCGGATGATGTCTCGGCGGTTATTAATGGCCGCCCAGTGGAGGAGCGTGACAGTTTCGCTGTCTGGCTGATTAACATCCCACCCGGACTCGACCAGCTCGCGGACACGGGCAATGGCACCATACTGCGTGGCCTTAACGATATCGAAGCCACTATAATCGGGCTCCACGGGCGCTGTGGGGGGCTGTTGGGCGATCAGCGCCGACTGCCGCTCGTTATCCGGCTGCTGGCTAGCTCCAGGGACACAGGAGCCCGTGGTGGCCGCTTGACAGGCGCTCTGGTACATTGCGCTGGCTTCTGGTAACGCTCTTCCGAATGTGATTCACTGCGGCGCTGCGCTCGTAACATCAACCATCCATCCCCCTCCTTCCAGCGAAAGAGTGAGAGGGGTGGGGTGAGCGAAGAGAGAGAAGAGGTGGAGAGCGGAGAACGGTGAGCGGGAGAGACACCCCCACCAGGCACTGGTCAGGCGATTCACAGGTTTGTCATTTTCCCACTCTCCCTCGGCAGCAACTCTGCTGGCTTCCTTTTTTTCGCTGCTTCACTTTTCTTTGGAGGAGCGGGTGTGGTGTATCTGCGCGGCTGTCGCGGTTATCAGTTTAATGCGTTTTACGTGCGAATTTTGGAGGACACTAAAAGCAATTTTTGGTGGTACAAGCTGAGCGAGCTGCCAACTCGGGTCAAGTGTGATAGCCGGAACTGCCAGCTGGGGTGAATTTTGTGTTGAGCGAGCAGCAGCTGGTAACAGTAATGTCGCTCCCGCTCTTTTTCCGCCAAATCAGGCTTTTTTTATGTGTGATTGCGGGGAAATTTTAAAAGCAGCTGGAATTTCATCCTTTTTAGAAAATTAAAGGAGACTTTATTTAATTTTACTTTTACTACATTTTAAGTGTTATTTTAATTATATTTCACGGTTGAAATGTTAAAAGTGTATTTACATCGGATAATATACACATCTCAAAATATTTAATAGTTGAGATTTTTAGGGTGTTGAATAGACTAAAATATCTTGATCAGTTAAAAATATGCAAATATGCAAAATGTATTGAAAAATTTATTAATTATGTATGCCTATCTCTTAAATAAGCCTCTCATTTTAAAAGGTATTGCAATTAACATTTATTTTATTTGGTAATTTTTATCAATTTTTATTTTACTCATAACTCTTATTTGCGATTTTTGAAATTGACCAGGTTGCGGTGCAGGTATTGTAAATGCAGCATAACTGCTTGGATTTAAAATTTTACTTTCTAAAAATTAGCTTTCTTCTTAGCTTTTTCCCATATGAATTTGGCTTTTTTTCGAGTATCCAGCTTTTTTTGCTCAGAAAAAAATGACATCACTGGCTGGCAGTTGGGTGTTTGCGTGGGAAGGCTGTTATCGGAAATATCCTCATTATCCTAGCCACAATAGAGAGCTTATCCTGGTCTAATGACTCAAAGACGAGGAATAGAAGGAGGAGCGAGAGAAAACAAAAAAGAATCGAAAATAAATCGATAACGATATTATCGATACTGCCCTCAATGTTTCCTTCCAGCTCTATTTCGCGCCTTATTTTTAGCATTCCCACATTTAAGTTTATATTTACTGTTACAATTAAAAATAGGCTTTAACAATGGACGCCAAGCGCAAGTTTAATGGCGGCTCCAATGGCCAGGCCAAGAAATTCAGGTGGGTATTGGGCAGAGTCGACAAAATCAGCAATTTAAGCTCTTGTTCTGCAGGAACCCCGATGAGGACGAGGAAATGGGCTTCGAGGCAGAGCTGGCTGCCTTTGAGAACTCGGAGGAGCTTGACCAGACCTTGCTGCTGGGCGACGGACCTGAGAACCAGCAGACGAGCGAACGTTGGTCCCGCCCAGCGCCGCCAAAACTAGATCCGGCTCGGGACAACCTGCAGTTCCAGCAGCTCGATGTGGAGAACTATTTGGGTCAGCCATTGCCAGGAATGCCGGGAGCGCAGCTGGGACCTGTGCCCGTAGTCCGCATGTTCGGTGTCACCATGGAGGGCAACTCGGTGTGCTGCCATGTCCACGGCTTCTGCCCGTACTTCTACATAGAGGCACCGAAGCAGTTCGAAGAGCGCCACTGCGAAATGTTTCAGAAGGCGCTGGACCAGAAGGTCATAGCCGACATACGCAACAACAAGGATAATGTCCAGGAGGCAGTCCTCATGGTTGAACTGGTAGAAAAGTTAAATATCCATGGCTACAATGGCGACAAAAAACAGAAGTACATCAAAATCTCAGTGACGCTGCCGCGTTTCGTGGCCGCCGCATCGCGTCTGCTCAAGAAGGAAGTAATAATGGCGGAGATCGACTTCCAGGACTGTCGTGCCTTCGAGAACAACATCGATTTCGACATCCGCTTCATGGTGGACACGGGCGTGGTGGGCTGCAACTGGATAGAACTGCCCATGGGACACTGGCGGATGCGGAGTGGCCACAGCAAGCCGCTGCCCGAGTCGCGCTGCCAGATCGAGGTGGATGTGGCCTTTGACCGGTTCATCTCGCACGAACCGGAGGGCGAGTGGTCCAAAGTTGCGCCCTTCCGCATCCTCTCCTTCGATATCGAGTGCGCCGGTCGCAAGGGCATCTTTCCGGAGGCCAAAATGGATCCGGTCATTCAGATTGCCAACATGGTGATCCGGCAGGGCGAGCGTGAACCCTTCATCAGGAATGTGTTCACCCTTAACGAGTGTGCGCCCATCATTGGCAGCCAGGTGCTGTGCCACGACAAGGAGACCCAGATGCTGGACAAGTGGTCGGCCTTCGTGCGGGAGGTGGATCCGGACATTCTCACGGGCTACAATATCAACAACTTTGACATTCCCTATCTGATCAATCGAGCGGCGCACCTGAAGGTGAAGAACTTCGAGTACTTGGGCAGGATCAAGAACATTCGGTCGGTGATCAAGGAGCAGGTGCTGCAGTCCAAGCAGATGGGTCGCCGTGAGAACCAGTACGTGAACTTCGAGGGCCGGGTTCCCTTCGATCTCCTGTTTGTTCTGCTGCGCGACTACAAACTCCGCTCGTACACCCTCAACGCTGTGAGCTACCACTTTCTGCAGGAGCAAAAGGAGGATGTGCACCACAGCATCATCACGGATCTGCAGAACGGAGACGAGCAGACGCGCCGTCGCCTGGCCATGTATTGCCTGAAGGACGCATACCTGCCGCTGAGGCTGCTCGAGAAGCTGATGGCCATTGTGAACTACATGGAAATGGCCAGGGTGACGGGTGTGCCGCTGGAGTCGCTGCTCACCCGAGGCCAGCAGATCAAGGTCCTTAGTCAGTTGCTGCGCAAGGCCAAGACCAAAGGCTTTATTATGCCTTCGTACACCTCGCAGGGATCGGACGAGCAGTACGAGGGCGCCACTGTAATTGAACCGAAGAGGGGCTACTATGCAGATCCCATTTCCACGCTGGATTTCGCCTCTCTGTACCCGAGTATCATGATGGCCCACAATCTGTGCTATACCACTTTGATCCTGGGTGGGACCCGGGAGAAGCTCAGGCAGCAGGAGGACCTGCAGGACGATCAGGTAGAGTGCACGCCGGCCAACAATTACTTTGTGAAGTCCGAAGTGCGTCGAGGACTGCTCCCCGAGATTCTGGAGTCCCTTCTGGCCGCCAGGAAGCGCGCCAAAAACGACCTCAAGGTGGAAACGGATCCGTTCAAACGGAAGGTACTGGACGGTAGGCAGCTGGCCCTGAAGATCTCGGCCAATTCCGTTTACGGCTTCACCGGCGCCCAGGTGGGAAAGCTACCTTGCCTGGAGATCTCTGGCAGCGTTACTGCCTACGGACGCACCATGATTGAAATGACCAAAAACGAGGTAGAGACTCACTACACCCAGGCCAATGGCTACGAGAATAACGCAGTGGTCATCTACGGCGACACGGACTCTGTTATGGTTAACTTTGGAGTGAAGACCCTGGAACGCAGCATGGAGCTGGGCAGGGAGGCTGCGGAGTTGGTCAGCTCCAAGTTTGTACACCCCATCAAGCTGGAGTTTGAGAAGGTGTATTATCCGTACCTCTTGATCAACAAGAAGCGCTACGCCGGACTGTACTTTACCCGGCCAGAGACCTATGACAAAATGGACTGCAAGGGCATTGAGACGGTGAGGCGAGACAACTCGCCGCTGGTGGCCAACCTGATGAACTCCTGCCTGCAGAAGCTTCTCATCGAACGGGATCCGGATGGCGCCGTGGCCTATGCCAAGCAGGTGATAGCCGATCTTCTCTGTAACCGCATCGATATCTCGCACCTGGTCATCACCAAGGAGCTGGCCAAGACCGACTATGCAGCCAAGCAGGCGCACGTGGAGCTCGCTGCCAAGATGAAGAAACGGGATCCCGGCACGGCGCCCAAGCTCGGGGATCGCGTTCCATATGTGATCTGTGCGGCAGCTAAGAATACGCCGGCTTATGCCAAGGCGGAGGATCCGTTATACGTGCTAGAGAACAGCGTTCCCATCGATGCCACTTACTACTTGGAGCAGCAGCTGGCCAAACCGCTGTTGAGGATTTTTGAGCCAATTTTGGGGGAGAAAGCCGAGTCTATATTGCTCAAGGGAGAGCACACACGGACCCGTACTGTTGTGACCTCCAAAGTTGGCGGACTGGCCGGGTTTATGACCAAGAAAACCTCCTGTCTGGGCTGCAAGTCCCTAATGCCCAAGGGCTACGAGCAGGCCTGCCTCTGTCCGCACTGCGAGCCCCGGATGAGCGAGCTCTACCAGAAGGAGGTGGGCGCGAAGCGGGAGCTGGAGGAGACCTTTTCTCGCCTCTGGACTGAATGTCAGCGCTGCCAGGAGTCCCTACACGAGGAGGTGATCTGCTCCAATCGCGATTGCCCTATTTTCTACATGCGGCAGAAGGTGCGCATGGATCTGGACACGCAGGAGAAACGTGTGCAGAGGTTTGGCCTGGCGGAGTGGTGATTCAATGCATGGAATTACTGAATTGTTTAATCCTATAATTTAATAATTATATTACTAGAAGTTATTACAAAGTTTTCTCTTTCGGTTTGTGGATGTGTTTTTTTTTTTTCTTTTTCTTTTTGTTTTTGCGCAATTTATGCAATTTGAAAAAAGCTGTAGACGATGTTTCCTAGTTGCTGGCGACGCTTTGGACACACACTCATTTTTACACAGGGGATGGGAACTGGCTAGGGACTTATTTGCGGCTCTGCAGGGTGTTGGACAGCCAGTCCATGGCCTGGTCCAGGCCCTCGCCCTTGGTGGCCGACGTTTTGAATATCTGAAATGTGCGATTTTTAAGGTTTTCCAGCCCTAACGCATGGTGCACCTCGGCGACGGTCATGCAGCCGTCCATGTCCTGCTTGTTGGCCAGCACAACAAGTATCGCCCCAGCCAGCTCCTCCTCGCGCAGCATGTAGAGCAGCTCGTCCTTGGAGATGCCGATGCGGTCTCGATCCGCCGAATCCACCACATATATGATGGCGTCTGTGTTGCTATAGTAGCAACGCCAGTAGGGTCTGCAAAATAGATATATTGTAGACGGCCTGCAACTCCCAGCAACTACTGTATCCTAACAGATGGCCGGTGATAGCAGGATCTCCTTATCTCGCGCCACCACTCACCTAATACTTGTCTGTCCACCCAGGTCCCACACCTGAAACTTGAGGTTCTTGTATGTAACCTGCTCCACGTTGAAGCCAATGGTTGGTATCGTTGTGACCACCTCGCCCACCTGCAGTCTGTAGAGGATTGTGGTCTTGCCGGCACCGTCCAGGCCCAGGATCAAGATGCGCATCTCCCGGGAGCCGAGCAATCCGCGAAAGTAGCTGAGCACCCCACCTGCAGAAAAAACAACAAGAAGGGGGAACGTACGATTTTTATGACCAGACATCGTCACCGGCGGGTGTCGTCGGACCCAGGGCCTCGCCGTTTTCGGATTCTATGGCTCCGCTTACCCATGATTCCGGCTGAACGTTGTCTAGTGCTGGCGCTGCCTCTAAATGCCCAAGTTTAACCTAATTAATTGTATTTGGTGCTACAATTAATACAAAACGAAACAATCTTGTTTTCACTTTTTGTACAGGGAATGGTTTCGATGTTGCCATTCACAGGCCGCGTGAACATGACGTGTCAGAGCGTGCGTTCAGCACACAAATATTTAACACTTAAAAAGAAATTTAAAGACCTTTAGTAATATTCTCCACTAATTAATATTTTAACATATACATTAACTTACTTTTGTTAAATTATAAAAATATTTACTGTGAACTGTGCTGAACGCACCCATTTTTATTGCCGGTTGGCAGGGTTGTCACCCCGCGTGACTTTTTAGATAAAAAAAGAATGTTCAAAATTAAAAACACAGAAATACACGGGAAACGAGATCTGGTCATCTGCGTCTGAGCTTGGCTAGACGCTCGAGGAGATTCCAGCGTCTTGCTGGAGAAGCTAGTCAACCGTCTGAACAAGACCAGGCGGAGGAGGAGCATCCCGACACCAGGACACCAGAAATGCAGGACAAGCTGCCCAACGAGGAGCTGCTGGCCATCTTCTCCTATCTGATGGAGCTGGAAACGTTCCCTCAACCCTCAGCGTCAATGCCCAGGTCAACATCTATGAAGAGCAGGTGGCCCGTAGCGAGCATCCCGGTCCACTGATATTCCTCAATACCACTACAATTGCCACTATTGACTTGGACGTGGCTCTCGTGGGAGCTGAACCTGGCAACGTGGCTGAGTTTGTGATCCTGGGAAGCCGGATCCACGGTGATGCTCGTGGAGGGCGACAAGTTACTTCGACAGTGTCGCATCACAAGCACTACTGCCTGGACATTGGCGAGAACTGCTCACCCACCGTAGATAACTGCATCATTCGCTCCAATCAACTAGATCTTTCCGTACGGAGTTAGCCTATCTGGCCAATCCCAACGTGGTCAAGAGTGAGATCCATCATGGCCAGACGGGTGACATCTATGTACACGAGAATGGGTTATTGAAAACCACATTCACTCGAATAACTTTGCAGGTAAAGCAATAACACGTTCTGTAGAATCTAAATAATGGTTGTTAACCCCCATCCTTTACCTTGAAGGTGTCTGGATAACCTCCAACAGCAATCCCACCATCCCCAAGAACGAGATCTACAACGGTCGCCAAATTGGTGTGTACATCTTCGGCGAGGGTCGTGGTCTGATCGAACACAACAACATTACTACATTTACGCTGGCCGGCATTCAGATTTGCACGGAGGTCTGGGACTACTGGAGCAGAATGAGATCTTCGACAATGTCATGGGCGGCAAATCGGATTCTCAACGCAGTGGCGATCCTGTGACGAAATCGGAATTACGACGGATCAGCGCGGGCGTGGAGATCACCAATAGTGCAAGAAGTCTTGAGCTCTTTCGGAGAATATGGCTGTGATTGGTCCTTATCGGTGACTCTATCGTGAGGGACAACAGTTTTGGATCAATAATCAAGCTGTTGCGCTATGCAGCCTCTAGTGGGTATCCCTGCTATAGGGTATCAATATACCAAAGCGCGAGGATCTGATTGCCAACAAGCTGGACAAAGAAGCATCGGGATGCAGCAGACAATGAGGACATTGGCGAGTATCCCGTGGACTGTCCGACGAGTTGAGTTGGTAATACCTCCCAGAAACTAGCTTTAATTCTCTGTTTTGCAGTATCAAAAGACGGAATTTCTGTCACAAATTTTGCATTTACTTTATCACGCATTTAAGATAAAAATGAGCAGTAAACAACGAATGATGCCACAGTGGCCTTTTTCCCGTCAAATCTGGCTTTTTTAAAATGTTATTCGCTAGATTTACGGGTTTCTTCACAGTCCTAGGGGGCTTTTGTATTATTAAGTATTATAAAATATTGCAGTACAAATTATGAAATCTTAAAAAAAAAATCAGCGACAGGTGGCTACATAAAGTGCTGCACAAAATTAAGTAAATTGTTATCTTTTTTCAATTTAGGGGGACACTTGGATTTTTTAGGGGGAAATTTCAACTATTTGGGATTTTTTAGGGGAAAGCCAAATATTCGTCTGGCAACACTGATAGACGTCCGCCATTAGAGTTTTGCTGTCGCGTCGGTAGAAAAAGTGTGGAAAAACCTCTTCAAACAGTGCTAATAGGTAATATTTTTGCCAGAAACAAAAGAACTTCTATTCTTGACGGTGTGCGCGATATGTGGAACGTAAAGTTTTACTTCTGGGCGACGTTTGTAGTGTGTATTTCGGTGTTTGCACCGGCCTGCGCAAAAAAAGTGTGCCGCAAACCCGTAATACGAACAGGGCTGCGATTACATGTCGTGGCTGCAGATTCTATATTGATAAATAATATCAAGAGCTGACATCGTTTTTGTTTACAGACAACGCTGGCCCAGTTGGTCGCTGGTTAACGTACGCAGGAGCCCTTGGATAAGTAGCAACAATGGCCTCGCCCTCCCCGGCGAACAGCCCCATGCCGCCGCCACAGGCGCCCAGTCCCATGGCCCCGCCATCCCAGAGTCCCGCCCCCTCGCCGCACAGTCCGTATCCGCAGCACCAGCAGCCCGGGCCGCCGCAAGGACCACCGCCCGGAGCCCCGCCACACATGCAAGGACCCCCGCCACCCGGCCATCCCGGAGCCTACGGCCATCCAATGCAACATGGGCCACCAGGCCAGGGCCCACCGCCTGGCCACCACATGCCGCCCCATCACCAGGGTTTGAGTATGTGTTTAATACCGCCATTGCGGCCTCCTTATCCTCACGTAATCATCCGTAGTTTTCTCAAAAGGTCCGCACATGGGAATGCAGATGCCGCCGACGGGACCGCCGAATATGGGATCAATTGGTTACCAATCGCATGGAATGCCGCCAAATGTAAGTTATCAAGCGATGCGGGGTCCAAACTTTGGGGTATGGGTAGGAACAAATAAGGTTTAGTTTCTTTTTTAAGTCAATTTGATGATCTATCTTGGATGGATTTTTATTTAAAGTACCATTATTGTGGTCTATATGGTGTGTGATAGAGTATTACCGATAAGACTTCAGAGGACACCAGAGCTAGAGCTACAAATAGCTATTTAATAATGCAGTGGCGGATCCAGAGACGATTCTTGGGGGGGGGGGGAATTGAACTTATTGACAGAAAACTATTCTATTGGACAGTCAAGTTGAGGCGTTTTTGGCGAGATAAACGGATTTAAATGAAACGTCACCATGCGTTGAGTGTTTTCATACTCAATAGTGCCAATTGTACAGTATTATATAGGATAATCATGCGAGATAGTAACATTTTTAGGTTCCAAGGGGGGGGAAATTTCCTAATTTCACCCCCCGTGGATCCGCCACTGAATAATGAGCATTTTTATACCCTTGCAAGTTTTATAATTTTAATCCGCAGTTTGCAACGCAGAGAAGGTTTTCTCCTTCCTTCGTTCCCTATAAAGTAAATACAGTCGTTGCCTGCTAATTAGAAAGACGACTGTGATGGTTGCATTTGTATCGAAAAAAGATAGACACCCATTTTTTTTTTTGGGCCAGTAATGGGCCTAACATCTTTTGGAAATATCATTCTTTAGTAAATAGTAAGGATTTACAATCTATCTTTCTATCTATCATTTTTATTTTTTGTTAAAGACCCATCCAAATGCATAAGTATTATATTTTTCGACAAAAACTATGATTTAATAAAAAAGATGCACAAAAGCACTAAAAAAACAAGAAAGGAAGCTAACTTCGGCACGCCGAAGTTTGTATACCCTTGCAGATATTATTTCATTACATTTTACCTATACTTATTATGTTTACAGTTTGACAGTTACAGTTTTACATTCACACCTTTACATTTTCTCTACACCTACCGATCGCTCCTATGGCAGCTATATGATATAGTTGTCCGATTTTCATGAAATTTATATCAAAATTCTAGAATAATAAAATAAGCTTATACCTCAGTAGATGAAAATACTTTGAAAAACAACGAAGTTATATATTGTTTCCTATTAATTTCCCGATCGTTTCTATGGCAGCTATAAGATATAGTCGTCCGATTTTCATAAAATTTTTACCAAAATTCAGAAATAATATAAAATAGCCATATCTAAAATATGGTGCAAAAATATTAAAAAACAGCAAAGTTATAATTTTTTTTCTAAAAATCGATCGAACATTTGTATGGCAGCTATATGATATAGTCGTCCGATCCGGCCCGTTCCGACATATATAGCAGTGAGAGTATATAGAAGACTATATGCAAAGTTTCATTCAGATAGCTTTAAAACTGAGGGACTAGTTTGCGTAGAAACGGACAGGTGGACAGACGGACAGACGGACAGACGGACAGACGGACATGGCTATATCGACTCGGCTGTTGATGCTGATCAAGAATATATATACTTTATAGGGTCGGAAACGTCTCCTTCACTGCGTTGCAAACTTCTGACTGAAATTATAATACCCTGCAAGGGTATAATAACGGTAGAATTGCAAAACTGTTCCCACCCAGTGACTACAAAATAAGTGACTATGTTGAAAATTAATTCTGAAAAAAGTTATGAATAAATAAAATACAATTATATTGTTTTTCAGCTTCAGAATACTAAAATGCATTAATAGTAAAGCAGTGTATGTTAAACTGTAACTTTAAACCTGTAATAATAAAAATATATAATTATGATCTAATTAAAAACTGCAAGCGTATCAAACTTCGGCGTGCCGAAGTTAGCTTCCTCTCTCCCTTTTTTCTCTTTTTAACTTCGTTACAAAGATATACAATGAGAGTTATTAAACAATAAAAGATTTGTGCCTGAAAAAGCTGTGCATCATCGATTTGTAGGCAGCCCAAATGTTACGAGCAACAATTACCTAGCAATTTAGTTTTCAATACCCTTGCTGGTGATGTATAATTATTTTTTAAAGATTTATTAGGCAGCGCTTGTGGCTTACAAATTAAATTTACTACAGGTTCTTCCAAAGTCTCCATCAAGAGCAGTTGTGTTTAATTGTTCTCCCGCCACTTTTTTTATCTGCCGGCAATCAAAGCTGGCTGATCATGAAAAGCTCTATTGGAAAGCTTTTAATTATTGCCAAATGACAGTGCAGCTGGGTTTAAGCTTTTAATTTAGATGTCTTTTTTTTGTGTGTCGCATGCTTAATTTACTTGGGCACTGGCTTGCCCCCCACCGAATCCTCCAGAGCGGCTTTACGTAACAGCTCCTCAATTTCTTTGCGCAACTTCTCCGTTCCGGCACAGATCAGATCTGGCTTCATAATGTCAAAGGGCCCGCCAAAGGGAGCCGTGACCACGCCGCCCGCCTCCTTCACGAGCAGGGAACCGGCAGCGCAGTCCCAGGGATACATGTCCTCAATGTAGAAAGCATCTAAATTGCCAGCTGCTACCATGCACAGCTCATCGACCACACAGGAATAGGCCAAGAGTCTGGGGATTAGAAAGATTGCATTTATTTTCTTACAATTTTGCGTTTTATAGATTTCATAAAAGATATAAAATATCACAGATATAAATTATCACAGATATAAAATATCACAGATATAAACTATCACAGATAAAAATATCACAGATATAAAATATCACAGATAAATAAAAAAAATTACTTGAAGCTATTGAACAATTTTCTTCTGATCTGACTTTCAATTGAAATAGATATTTATTTTTTATGTGTAGCGAGAGGTTTGACTGATTAATTGTTTTGTACTCAACAGTTGCCTTTTTTCAACGAGTTTAATTGTGGAATTCATGACGATAAAGTGTTGCAATTGATCGGAGTTTGAATTTTATTTCCATTTTAATTAAATTGGAAGTTTAAGCTAGTTAAGTTTGCCTTGTAAACTTACCGCCGAGCATTCAATCCCACGTGATAGATCCGTTTTATGTGTTCGTTAGCCACCGAATGGACGTGCAGAAGGGACACTTCGTAGGCCACATTGGCATTCTTGATGCTGTCACAGTTGCTCACATTGATAGCCTTGCCATTGCAAAAGGCGCCCTGTCCCAACTTGGTAGTGAATAGCTTCTTCTGCACGGGATTGTTGATCACACCCAGCACAATCTGTTTGTTGATGGCAAGACCAATGGAAACGCAAACGTGCGGGATCTGCTTGATGAAGTTCGAGGTGCCATCAATGGGATCTATGATCCAGGTGGGCGCATCCGTTAGCTCACCGGACACGTTGTTGTTCTTGGCGGTGGCCTCCTCGCCAATGAACTTGTGCTCCGGATACGAAGCCAGTATCTTCTCCATGAGAAAATCCTCGATTTTGTTGTCATAGTCGGTGACCACGTCATAAAAGTCGCCCTTGATGGAAACGTTTTTACTGGCCATTTCGTAGCCCTCCAAGAGGATCTCACCCGCCTGGACGGCCAAGGGGTGGATGAAGCTGTACAGCTCCTCGATCAGTGCTTGTGACATCGTGATTGTTTTCTATATGCTTCCAGGCTCCAAACGATGCGTTCCTGATCAGCTCGCAGTGCCAACTAATCAGAGAGATTGCGCCCGCCCAGCTGGAAGTATCTCTCGTGCTCTGCTGGAGCTTTGGTTTCGGTCTGGTTAGGTTACATTCGTTCTCTGATTGTTTTGCCTGCTTCTTCGAGGTTTTATGTACTGAAAATTGGCAACTCGTCTGGCTGCATGCATGCTTCCATTTCTGCTGCTTTATCTCAATTTGTTTGATGAACACAAATAGACAGAGACGCTTTTTATCTCTCCCCAGGCAGTCAAATAGTCGTAAAACCTGTTTTTATCAGCGTTTTTTTTTTCTCGATGCTTTCAAGTAGCTTTGGATAATTTATATATATTTTGGGCTGCAAGTCATTATTGTAAGAGAGACCTTTTAAGCTTGGCATTATTGTGTAAACCGATCATTCAATTATTGTCTTTTCCTGACAATCTTTTGAATCATCTGACAATAGGCTTCATTTGATGAGCTTTAAAAGGGTTTCTTTAGTTTGTAAACTGAGGGTCTGAACCACATCCTATACAAAAAGTGACGACCCTCTAGATGACCTAGAGATTAAAGAAAAACGTAATGGAGCTAGCAAAAGGGACTTTATGATCAATGTTACTTAAATCTTATGTAAATCTTATATATTTTTCAACTCTTGTTCATATAAACGTATAACCTGTAATCTGATCAGCTTCCTTTATTAATTGAATCACATTTTTGGCCAATTCTTCGGAGCAAGTGCACACACAATCGGGTTTCATCACATCGAATCTGCCACCGCTGGTATGGTAAACAAAGCCACCGGCTTCTCTGAGAATTATGGCACCGCCGGCCAGATCCCAGGGCTTTAGATTCTCCACATGATAGGCATCACATCGGCCGGCGGCTATATAGCAGAGCGTGAGCGCTGCACATCCAAAGCTGCGAGTACTGATAGCGGGACAATGGAGTGTGTTAATTATGTGGGTATAATCAGAGATTAGACAGAGATCTACATTGAAGATTACTTACCCAGTGGCATTCGAGGCCAGCTTGTACAGACGCTTCACATTGCTGTCGCGCGCCTTGGCCACCACGATCAGGGAGATCTCGTAGCCCACCACGGCTTGGTTTATCTGTAACTCAGAAATTGTATATTCTTTCTTATATTATTTTCTTATAAGTTATAAGTTTATTATTACTAGAAATGTCTAGACAAAGCCTAACTGTTCCCAGAGGGAGAATGATTATAATATTGAATTAATTTTTCTCAGAATAATTTTAGTAAAAGTACTTTCTTTCAATTTATTTTTCCCGGAAAGATTGCTCTCTTTTTAAAACCATGCAGGGTATTATAATCTTAGTCAGAAGTTTGCAACGCACTGAAGGAGTTATTTCCGACCTTAAAAAGTATACATTTTTGATTAGCATCAAAAGCCTAGTCAATCTAGGCATGTCCGACAGTCCTACACTTTTGAAGTTTTGTGAATTAAACTTTTGAGAAAGTTTTCTGATATAGTAGAGTACTATATATATGTCATATAGCAGCCAAGGAACAATCCGAGCGATTTAGAAAAAAAAGGTTTTCGTTGTTTTTCAAAATATTTTTATCTATTTTAGAATTTCGGGTTTAATTTTATGAAAATCGGACGTATATATCATATAGCTGCCATAGAAACGATAGAACGGTATGCAAACTTCGGCATGCCCAAGTTAGCTTCCTTTCTTGTTTTATATTTGAGACTAATCAAAGGTAGTGCTTATCATTTCCGAGATACTCTCCTATATAGAAGCTACCTAGTAGTAATTTCATCACCATGCTAGCCCCACTTACCGTTGTTACGTTGGACGACGCACTGATGGGTTGCCCATTCAAGAAAGCTCCATGACCTTGCCAAGCGGAGTACAATTCGTTTGCTGCCGGATTATAGACGATGCCAACGACAAGCTCCTTGTTAATGGCCAAGCCCACTGAAATGCAGCAATGGGGAATCCTCCGCACATAGTTATTAGTTCCATCTATGGGGTCTATGATCCAGGTGGGCGCATCACTCAGTTCGGGTTGAGTTTTGGCATCGGCCAAGGCTTCTTCCCCTATTATTTTCGATTCCGGAAAGGCCTTGAGCAGACCCGCGGACAGTGTTGCTTCAATTTGCTTGTCGTACACTGTGACCAAATCGTAGAAGGCTGACTTGACTTCATAGTCAGCATTTGGCTTCTGGAAACCCTCCAGGAAGAGCGGACCACACTTTCGAACCAATTCGACGGACACCTCGTGGTATTGCCGCAATTTTTCCTCACTTATTTTGTTATTCATGACTCGATAATCGACTGATCTAAAGGGGAACAGCTGTGGAATGATTTTGGGAAAGCTTTTTTCGCACAGAGCTTTTTCCAGATAAAGTTAATTTCGCAGAATTAATTAGCATTATTTACTTTTATTTACAGGAATACATAACATTAATCTCTTGCAGTTTATAGCTTTTTTACAATAGATAAATGTAGATACTGACTTCTATTTAGTTATTTTATCTTTACTTGAACGTATACTCTGTAATCTGGTTGGCCTCTTCGATAAGGCTAATCACGTTCTTGGCCAACTCCGGCGTTGAGGCGCACACGCAATCTGGCTTCATCACGTCGAATTTGGAGCCACTGGTATGGCAGACAGTGCCTCCAGCCTCGCTCAGAATAATGGCTCCAGCTGCTATATCCCAGGGTTTCAAATCCTCCACATGGTAGACATCGCACTGCCCGGTTGCCACATAGCATAGGGTCAGGGCAGCACTTCCAAAGCAACGGGTGCCCGTGGCATTCGAGGCTAGCTTGTACAAGCGCTTGATATTCTTGTCCCTAACTGCAGCAGCATGGATGAGCGAGATCTCGTAGGCAATAACGGCTTGGTTGATCTGGAAAGGGAGAGCGGAATGACGTTCTCAGAACGGGTTGAACTAGGGGACACAAGAGCTTTTTCATTTGCGGGAATTTTGATGAATGAGACTCTCGGAGAAATGGAACAAATAGGGGAATGTGTTGAACAATACTCCCATGGGTACACGAAAAAAAAAACTGCACAGGGAATAGATGGAATTGCATATATTGCCTTTTTCAGTGATATAAATTATTAGTTTCACCATTTATGTAGATTAAATAAAAAAGAAGATAAACAAACGTTATTAACTTGAAGTTAAAAAATAATTACTTTAAATACAAGTAGTTCTTATAATTAGTTAACTTCTTGTTATAATAAATAATGTTAAAGGTTTATCACATCTGCAGATAACCTACCAGAAAAATTAAAATGTTTATCTTAAATTCTTACTGTGAAATAACGATTACTTGGCAAATTTGTTAACTAAATATTTGGTTTAAAAATCTGTACCTTGGAAATTTACATTATCTTTACTGCCTCTTGTCAAGGCTTTATCTTCATAATATTCAAGATAATTCTTCACAAAATTCAAGCTGTCTAGGTATAATACATACTGTTTTTTTTTTCTGTGCACCGATAAGCCTATGTGCATGCTAAATTACACACCCCACAGTTATTTTGTTGAATTTCGTTTATCTTGTTTGTTGCTACTTTTTGCCGTTCCCAAATTACTTATATAAGCTCTCTCGCTCTCTTACCGTCGTCGCCTTGGAGGTGTGGATGGGCTGGCCATTTAGGTAGGCTCCATGTCCCTTGTATGCGGAGAACAGCTCGTTCGCCGGCGGATTGTAGATGATGCCCACCACCAGTTCCTTGTTGACGGCCAAGCCCACGGAGATGCAACAGTGTGGAATGCGATGGATGAAGTTGGTGGTGCCGTCGATGGGGTCTATGATCCAGGTGGGCGCATCCGTTAGCTCCGCTTGGCGCTTCGATGCCGCCGACTCCTCCTCGCCAATGATTAGGGAGTCGGGAAAGGCGGCCACCAGTCCCTCTGTGAGAATGTCCTCGATTTGCTTGTCATACACCGTGACCAGGTCGTAAAAGTCCTTCTTCACCTCGTAGTCCGTCTTGGCCTTGTGGTAGCCCTCCAGCATGAGGGGTCCGCACTTGAGGACCAGCTTCATGGCCACATCGTAGTATTCCTTGAGCTTGGACTCGCTGACCGGGGAACTCATCGTTCTTGCTGCTGATTGCCGAGCACTCGACTGACCAACTGAACTATATAGAGGAGGAATCAGCTGTGGAATGGAGGCAAAGAGGAGAGCTTTCCGCCAAAGCTTTTTAGTATATTGTGTTAGAACTTTGCACTTCTCTCGGAGAGCGGCGATAGAGTTGCTTTACGGGTTGCTATTGTTCCGTGACTTTGTGGGTGTGAGACTGGTACAGTCGCAGCCAGAAAATTAGCACCAATTGAAAGTCAAAGCGAGTTTTTTTTTAATATTTATTGATTGTAGCTTTTACAACCATATTATGATTTAAATCTCTTAAATATCAAAAGTAAAAGAAAATTATAAACTTATTTCTTTTTAAATCAATAAAATCTTTGAATATAATTTTAACAAAAAAAGTATCTTTCTATCCAGTTACCTAATGTTTCTTTTGTTTAAACTAAAATCTGATTTTAAATAAGAATATAAGCCATATTTCGAAATAGTTTCTATTATTTTGAACGCAAGTGCGCGCTTATCGCTTGGATTATGATAGTGAACAGATTTATGTTTCCATATGTTGTAAGGTTTACGAACATGGTGTGTAAATGCTACTTATAACGATTACCAAAATAATTCTTTAGTAAACAGGGAAGATATTGCTGTCAACAATGAGATTGCAGATTTTTGGGGCTACCTTTACATTATCAAATTTGGTTTTATATTATTTTTTTTTTTTTTTTTCAAAATATGGTTGCTACATAGAAAGCTGATATGGATTTGCAACTTTAAAGAGTTTAAAACTATACAAAATATCTTTAATTATAATCAAAATATCTTTTCATGATGACTTGCATACTTTTTTTTCAGAAGCATTTTTTCCCAGCTGTTTACCCCTTTTAAATGAAACTTAGTTTTATGGTGATCATTAGATTTTGTTGTTATTCTTTTTTGTACAAAAGCTCTTCGCTTTAATCGCCCCCGACGTGCGGCTGCTGATCAGCCTTCCGAATAAGTTGCTCTATCTCCGCTCTTAAAGTCTCTGTTCCGGCACAGATTAGATCCGGCTTCATTATATCAAAGGGACCACCATAGGGATGCGTGACCACGCCGCCGGCCTCCCGGATAAGCAGATAGCCCGCGGCACAGTCCCAAGGATACATGTCCTCGATGTGAAAGGCGTCTAGGTTGCCAGCAGCCACCATGCAGAGTGAATCTACCACAGCCGAGTAGGCAAGGAGCCTGAAACAAAAACAGGTTTATCAAAGGGAAACACACAACATTGGACCAACCTCCTGGCCTGTGATCCCACATGGTAAATCCTCTTGATGTGCTTGTTCCGAATCTTTGGAGCGTGCAGTAGGCAAACCTCATACGCCACATTGGCATCGTTGAGATGCTCACAGTTGCTCACCCGAATCGGCTTTCCATTGCAGAAGGCACCCTGACCCAGTTTGGCCGTGTACAGCTTGTTCTGGGCAGGATTATTGACCACTCCCAGAACGATTTGCTTGTTGATGGACAAACCAATCGAAACGGAAACGTGCGGGATCTGTTTGATGAAGTTCGAGGTGCCATCGATGGGATCAATGATCCAGGTGGGGGCGTCCGTCAGTTCGTTGGTCACATTGTTGTGATTCTTGTGGGTATCCTCCTCGCCGATGAACTTGTGATCCGGATAGCTAGCCAGTATCTTCTCGATGAGAAACTCCTCGATCTGGTTGTCATAGGCAGTGACCACATTGTAGAATTCTCCGCACTTGAGCGAGACAGCCTTGCCGGCATTATCGTAGCCTTCGAGGAGGATCTCGCCGGCTCTCACTGCCAGCGGATGGATGAAGTCGTATAGCTCCTCGATCTGTTGTGACTTGCTGTCTGCCATCACTCTCACACTCACTCTCGCTTATCTGTGCTATCTTTACTGCTGTGTTATTGCGTTATTTTCCCGGCTCCTCCGACTTTGTCTCCAGTGAATCTACCACTGAGACCACTGTCGGCAGTGGAACGGGTTTTTTCCAGCACAGTTGTTAACTTGGTTCACTGACTGAGATACGTTTACTGCTGCTGTTCTGGGCTGCTGCGAGTTGGGAGCTTTTTTAATTTATTTGCACTTGACTTTCAGCTTTAAATAACAATGGAGGAGGGTGCAGTGAGTTCGTCTTAAAAGTTTACATTTATATTTATTAGAAATATTGCATTTGGTCGATTAAATTAATTTAACAAAATCTAAAAATATTTTATAAAGTATTTTAATGAATAATGGAAGTGAAATGTATGGAAAATCTCTTAGGTATTTATATTAAGCGTTAAGTTTTATGTAAATATTTCCATAATATTGAGATCGTACGCATTTAAAGTAAAAATAAAACAACTAATGTTCAAATTTTGTATATATTTTTTAAAATTTTAACTTTCCTTTCTACGCATTCAAGATAATTTTAAAAGAATTAAAGAACTCACAAGCTACAAAAACAAAAGTCACTTTCGCGGCGAGCTGATTTCAACGAAAGGAAGGGATTATTTGAGTGAATTAAATTTTAAGTTAACCTAGGTTAATGCCCGCATTTTGTGTTTTTAATTTCAATCAGAAATATAGAATCTTTTATTTGATATTTAATTATTATGCCTGACGCACGTGACTAATGCTACCGTTGCCTTTTTCCTTTTCTTTCCAGGCTCCCACACAACCCTGCATAGTGTCACCTGGAGGGCCACCTGGCGGCCCACCGCCGCCAGAGCGCTCCAGCCAGGAAAATTTGCACGCCCTGCAACGGGCCATCGACTCTATGGAGGAGAAGGGCCTGCAGGAGGATCCACGCTACTCCCAGCTGCTGGCCATGCGAGCCACCTCCAAGCACCAGCACCTCAATGGCAACCAGGTTAACCTGCTGCGCACACAGATAACTGCCTATCGGCTGCTGGCGAGGAACAAGCCCATCTCCATGCAGATGCAGCAGGCGCTGCAGGCGGCTCAGCAGCAGCCACCGCCAGGACCTCCGATTGGGCCACCTGGAACACCCGGAGGACCACCGCCGCCAGGTGGTCAACATGCGGGTCAGCCGCCCGTACAGCCTCAGCAGCAGCAACCACCACCGTCAGCGGGTACGCCGCCCCAATGCTCCACGCCGCCGGCTAGCAATCCCTATGGGCAACCAGTTCCCGGTGGCCAGAAGATGCAGGTGGCTCCTCCGCCACCGCACATGCAGCAGGGCCAGCCCCTGCCGCCACAACCTCCTCAGATTGGTGGACCACCGCCCGGTCAACAGCAACCGCCACCGCAGCAGCAGCAGCAGGCGCCTCAGGCGCAGCAACCGCCACCGGAGCAACTGCAGCACCAGCATCTGCCCAACGGCGGCAAGCCGCTGAGCATGGGACCCGCAGGCGGTCAGCCTCTGATACCGCCCTCGCCCATGCAGCCCCAAGTACGCGGAGCTCAGCCGCCGGGAATGCCGCCTGGAAGTCAGGTGCCTCAGCCAGGAGGAGGTCCCCCGCGACAAGTGCCGCCCGCTGGCATGCCGATGCCCAAACCCAATCGAATTACCACGGTTGCCAAGCCAGTGGGCCTGGATCCCATCACACTGCTGCAGGAACGCGAGAACCGGATAGCGGCCAGGATTTCGTTGCGCATGCAGGAGCTGCAGCGCCTGCCGGCCACCATGTCCGAGGATCTGCGGCTGCAGGCAGCCATCGAGTTGCGGGCCCTGCGCGTTCTGAACTTCCAGCGGCAGCTGCGCATGGAGTTTGTGCAGTGCACGAGAAGGGACACCACCTTGGAGACGGCACTGAACATCAAGTTCTACAAGCGGACCAAGCGACAGGGTCTGAGGGAGGCGCGCGCTACCGAAAAGCTGGAGAAGCAGCAGAAACTGGAGGCGGAGCGGAAGCGCAGGCAAAAGCATCTTGAGTTCCTGGCCGCCGTGCTCCAGCACGGCAAGGATCTGAGGGAGTTCCACAGGAACAACAAGGCCCAGCTGGCCAGGATGAACAAGGCGGTGATGAACTACCATGCGAACGCGGAGCGCGAACAGAAGAAGGAGCAGGAGCGCATCGAGAAGGAGCGAATGCGGCGCCTAATGGCCGAGGACGAGGAGGGCTACCGCAAGCTAATTGATCAGAAGAAGGACAAGCGCCTGGCCTTCCTCCTGTCGCAGACGGACGAGTACATCAGCAACCTCACCCAGATGGTGAAGCAGCACAAGGACGACCAGATGAAGAAGAAGGAGGAGGAGGGCAAACGGCTGCAGCTCTTCAAAAAGGAGCTGCTGATGAGCGGCGAATACGTGGGCATCGATGAGGGCAGCATCTTGGCCGACATGCGTGTCCATGTGGTGGAGCAATGCAGCGGCAAGAAGCTCACCGGCGACGACGCTCCCATGCTGAAGCACTTGCACCGCTGGCTGAGCATGCATCCTGGCTGGGATTGGATCGACGACGAGGATGACGGCACCTGCGGCGGCAGCAATGAAGATCACAAGCCCAAGGTGGAGGAGCAACCGATGGCCACGGAGGACGTCACCGACAAGGCAGCGTTGCCGACGGGCACCGATGAGGATGCCAATCCATCCGATGTCATCACCAAGGCCAAGGTGGAGGACGACGAGTACAAGACGGAGGAGCAGACCTACTACAGCATCGCGCACACCATTCACGAGAAGGTGACGGAGCAGGCCAGCATCATGGTAAACGGCCAGCTGAAGGAGTACCAGCTGAAGGGTCTGGAATGGCTCGTCTCGCTCTACAACAACAATCTGAACGGCATTCTGGCCGACGAGATGGGTCTGGGCAAGACGATCCAGACCATTTCGCTGGTCACCTATTTGATGGATCGCAAGAAGGTGATGGGTCCGTACTTGATCATTGTCCCCCTCTCCACGCTGCCCAATTGGGTGCTGGAGTTCGAGAAATGGGCGCCCGCAGTGGGCGTGGTGAGCTACAAGGGCAGCCCCCAGGGCAGGCGGTTGCTGCAAAACCAGATGCGGGCCACCAAGTTCAACGTGCTGCTCACCACCTACGAGTACGTGATCAAGGACAAGGCCGTGCTGGCCAAGATCCAGTGGAAGTACATGATCATCGACGAGGGCCATCGCATGAAGAATCACCACTGCAAGCTCACCCAGGTGCTAAACACCCACTACATTGCTCCCTATCGGCTGCTCCTAACGGGCACACCGCTGCAGAACAAGCTGCCCGAGCTGTGGGCGCTCCTTAACTTCCTGCTGCCCTCGATCTTCAAGTCATGCTCCACTTTCGAGCAGTGGTTCAACGCACCGTTCGCCACCACCGGCGAGAAGGTCGAGCTAAATGAGGAGGAGACCATCCTCATCATCCGACGTCTGCACAAGGTGTTGCGTCCCTTCTTGCTGCGCCGTCTGAAGAAGGAAGTGGAGCACCAGCTGCCCGACAAGGTGGAGTACATCATCAAGTGTGACATGTCCGCCTTGCAGCGAGTGCTCTACAAGCACATGCAGAGCAAGGGCGTCCTGCTGACCGACGGCTCCGAGAAGGGCAAGCATGGCAAGGGCGGCGCCAAGGCCCTCATGAACACCATTGTCCAGCTGCGAAAGCTGTGCAATCATCCATTCATGTTCCAACACATCGAGGAAAAGTACTGCGACCACACTGGTGGCCATGGTGTGGTGTCCGGTAAGTTTTACTCGATTAATAGTTTATGCTTTGGGTACAATATCAAGCCAAAAAATGTGTATAAAAACGCTTAAAAAGCCACAGAAATTGGCAGACATTTTGACATAAAATAGAGCTTTCTGTGGTAACTCTGAAGAAACGTTACAAGGTAGGCCTTGATTTGAATAGGCTTTCATTTTATTGTTCTAAAAATTAGCCTAATTATCAATACTATCGATGGGGGGTAGAGCTGTAAATGAATAGATTTTCAATAATCAATATTATTAACCTTTGTATTTAACTTTTCCACGAGTTTACATACGCATGAACTTTTTCGATTAAATCGATTCTGAAAAGTTGTATGGCATAAATGAAACAAATCGATAGTTCGATTACAGAAACGATTTTATTTCAAGCTCTAGGCTCACGGTGGACTGACAGTTCCGAGGTTTCCTTTGTTATCACAGCTAAATAGACCTCAGTCAAGTTCAGTTCTTCCTAGAGAACACTTGTCTCAATTATTTTAGTTTTGCTTATTTCTTTATTTTATTTTTAATTTATTTTTCTTATTTATTTTAATTTAAAAATGTTTCCCTTGGTGTTATCTGGCATACATTTTGGAATGCACCCCTTTATTCGTTTTTATTTATGTATTTTTATTTATTTATATTAACAAAGAGAAAATAAATTGTTTAATTTCTGGTCATTCCACATTCTACGCGATTCGTTTTTATGTTTACTGTTTTTTTTTCACACAAAATATAAATTTTTTGTTAAATTTTGTATTTTTTATTATCTTTGAGTATCTTTTAATATCTGGATAAAGTGAATCTGGTTGGTGTTATCTGGCATACATTTTGGAATGCACCCTTCGTTTGATTTTATTTTTGTATATCTTTGAACTTTAACGCGATTGGTTTTTGTGTTTACTGTTATTTTTTATTTCTAATATTTGATTTTCATTTTATCTGGCATACATTTTGGAATGTACCCCTTTTTTTGTTTTTATTGATATAGTTTTTTTTTTGTTAAACATGCGCTAATGAATTCTTTATTTTCTGGACATTCCAAATGAACTTTACCGCCTTTGGTTATTTTGGAGTATTGCTTTATCAGATAGTTCTTGTTTGTTTCTCTCTTCATATATTTTTCGTTATATCTTTCATTATTTTTTTTCATTATTCATTCATTACTTATTCATTATTCATTCGTTATATATGTGAGATGGGTATTTACCCAAGTGACGCAATCTTTTTCATCTGCAGTAGGTAAACATGAAATGATTCGTCCTTGCGTTTCTTCCGAGTACGGAGCTGCTCATGGACATCAGCACTGCACACATATTGACGACTAAACTCCATCAGCATACGCATTTCTGCATATTGATGAACAAACGTAGACCCCAAAAATAATTTTGCAGTGTTCACCATTTTCGCCCGAGCCTGGACATACATTTTTTTTATATTCAGCCCGTAGGCTGCAGCATTCTGCTCAAAATTGTCGAACCAATACTTTACTGGAATGGATTCTCCGTCAAACTCTGGAATAATTTTTGCGATGCTTTCCGCTGTAATCGAGCATCCACTGTTTTGCTCCTCCGCTCCAAACTTTATGGCAAGCAACTGCACAAGGTCTTTCAGCGTTTTTGTGTTTTCGTCGATCGAGCTGCTCTCAGCTGCTATAACTGTATCATTCTGCCTTCCACTTGTTCTGACACGATTCTGCATGCTTCTTCTTGCAGCCTTTTGTTCTCCTCTTGATTCGGAAAGTTCATGAATGCTTTTAACTTCATCGTCATTCTCCTGTTCACCAGCTTTACCAAAGTTATCCATTCTGATAGTTTTATCCGCTGCGACAGATCTAGTGTAATACGGCTTCACACTCATTCCCTTCCGCTATCCGCCTTTCAAACTTCTCAGGACTTGCAATTTAGGTTTGGACGAGCCCCCAAATGTGAGATGGACGAGCCCCCAAATGTGAGATGGGTATTTACCCTCTTATGTTTTCGTTTTATTATACTAATTTTCGGATATTATATATGTTTCTAAAATTTGCAGAAAACCTGCTCTTTCCGTTTTTTATTCAACTTTAGTTATTTTCTCTGCTTTTGTATCTGCTGAATTTCAACCAAACTGCTGAACTCCAAAAAACTCAATGAATCTTTCTCTCCCTGTTCCTACTTTGCTGCCGTCACTTCGAGGCTCTTCGCCTGCTTCGATCACTTCCCTTTTTACATAGGGTAAGGTGGGGTAAAGCCGACCTAGTAAATGGTTTTGGCTATAAAATGCTTATTTTACATCGGATCAAGTCGTTATATATACCAAATTAAAGGTTCGACTTTTGCGCAACTTTCTATGCATAGCATTTTATTCATACCTTTGAAAATTTTTGAGATACAAGCGTTTTACGAAAAAGTTCATTTTTGCTATGTTCAAAAATGATGGGGTAAACCCGACCGCCTATGGTTTTGGTTGATTTAGTACAGATATAACCTAAATATAGGTTTTGCAATGATAAATCAATCAATGTTATGTTATATAATGGTAATAAAAGATAATAGAATTAAAAAAATGAAAATAGCAAAAAAATTAATCAGTATCATCTGATTCGCTGCTCAAATAGCTTGCTGGCGTTTTTTGGTTCGAGTTGAACGTCTGGTTGACTGCGATGTTGATGGTTTTGGTGTGATTGTTGTTTTTTTGACTTTTTTTGCGGCAGGATTTACCCCACTATTTGGAGGTCGGATATGCCCCACCACGTAATTTTTCATAAAAACGCAATTAAAAAAGAAATTATAAAAAAAAATGAACCAAACTTATATGCACTTTGTAGGACTTTATTCAAAGAATCTAAATCCACTTACCTTTTCATGCGATAACTTTGACAAAAAGAAATATCCTGCAGTTAATTATGCACAAAAATGAAAGTCAAAATTGTGAAAACAAACTTGTTGTCGTTTGACCATCTCAATGTTGACTAATAAAATGCTGTCATACCACCATTTTCATTGTTTTCGATGCTCCACACGACAACACTAATATTAGTTTGCGTAGTGCTTCCGATTTTCGAAAACAGAGGGAGGTCGGGTTTACCCACACTGTCGGCTTTACCCCACCTTACCCTATATGTATATACATACATATATAACTATATCTTGAGATTATATATATGTATATGTATGTATAGTTAAAACCTTTAATCGATATGAACGTGTTCAACTCGTGTCTTTGGTGAATATTAGAGGGTATTTGTGTGTTTCTTTTGCTGCTGTGTCTGCTCTCTCATTGCCTATTACACCGATGTGGCTTGGGATCCAAATTAGTTTGATTTTTGGAAAGAGTTTGGTGATAAGGGATCTTATTGTATTGGAGTAGTACGAGTAGTTGTTTTGGTTTGTAATGGATTTTATGGAGGTTAGGGAGTCGCAGCAGATAGGATATTTGCCTGGTTACTGATCAAATTTTGACGGCTTGATGAATGGCTCAGTTCGCTAGAGAGGACGGAGGAGTACTGGGGAAGAAATCCAGATTTGACTATGTCAGAATTATTGATAACACTGAAGCCCACTGCATCGTTGGATTTTGTGCCGACTGTTTAATTGAAACTGTGATTATGTAGCGAGTTTTAGGCGAAGTAGTGTTATTGTTGTATAGGGAAAAGGTCGTGTTTGTATCTTTAAGAATTATTTCTTGATTGCATTTTTTAGATGTGTAGCTTTTAGCTGGGGAGTATGGGAGGGATAACGATTTGCAGGAGTCGATGATTCTTTCTGTTTTCTTTTTGTGACTTCGGATAGCTTGCCTATTGGGGAGTCACGAGATAGAATAAGTTTTGTTGCTAGTTTCCTGGTTAATAGTTTGCATTTGTTTTTTATTTAGTGTATAAATTTTAGCTTCAATTAGCAGGTTATTTGTAGGAGCTGTTTTGCAAATTAGATACTAATTTATCCGTTTCGTTCCTTGCAGGACCAGATCTGTACCGCGTGTCTGGTAAATTTGAGCTGCTCGACCGAATCTTGCCCAAACTGAAGGCCACCAACCATCGTGTGCTGCTCTTCTGTCAGATGACCCAGTGCATGACCATTATCGAGGACTATCTGGGCTGGCGGCAATTTGGATATCTCAGACTGGATGGCACCACCAAGGCCGAGGATCGTGGCGAGTTGCTACGCAAGTTTAACGCCAAGGGCTCTGACTACTTTGTCTTTCTGCTCTCTACACGCGCCGGTGGCCTGGGCCTCAACCTGCAGACCGCCGATACTGTAGTGATCTTTGACTCTGACTGGAACCCGCATCAGGACCTGCAGGCCCAGGACCGAGCACATCGTATCGGACAGCGCAACGAGGTGCGCGTTCTTCGGCTGATGACCGTGAACTCCGTGGAGGAGCGCATTCTAGCTGCGGCCAGGTACAAGCTAAACATGGACGAGAAGGTTATCCAGGCCGGTATGTTCGATCAGAAGTCGACGGGCAGCGAGCGACAGCAGTTCCTTCAGACGATCCTGCATCAGGACGACAACGAGGAGGAGGAGGAGAATGAGGTGCCCGACGACGAGATGATCAACATGATGATTGCCCGCAGCGAGGAGGAAATCGAGATATTCAAGCGCATGGATGTGGAGCGCAAGAAGGAGGACGAGGAGATCCATCCGGGCAGGGAGCGACTGATCGACGAGTCGGAGCTGCCGGATTGGTTGACCAAGGACGATGACGAGGTGGAGCGATTTCACTATCAGTACGATGAAGATACCATTTTGGGTGAGTCCCCCTTTATTTAATTTTCTTATTTTCTTGTATTTAAATCCATTATTATTTACTGTGTTAAGGTCGCGGCTCCCGACAGCGCAAGGAGGTGGACTACACGGACAGCTTGACCGAAAAGGAGTGGCTTAAGGCTATCGATGATGGCGCCGAGTTCGATGAGGAGGAGGAGGAAGATGACTCTAAGCGGAGCAAGCGACGCAAGCGCAAGAATCGCAAGGAGGAGTCGGACGACGATTCGTTGATATTGAAGCGTCGCCGACGCCAGAATCTGGACAAGCGCTCGAAGAAGCAGATGCACAAGATCATGAGCGCCGTGATCAAGTACACTCAAGACGGACGCACACTTTCCGAGCCCTTCATGAAGCTGCCCTCGCGCCAGCGGCTGCCCGACTACTACGAGATCATCAAGCGTCCGGTGGATATTAAGAAGATCCTCCAGCGCATCGAGGACTGCAAGTACGCCGATCTCAATGAGTTGGAGAAGGACTTTATGCAGCTGTGCCAGAATGCCCAGATCTACAACGAGGAGGCGTCCCTCATCTACCTGGACTCCATTGCCTTGCAGAAGATATTTGTGGGAGCCAGGCAGCGCGTAACCGCGGCGGCGGATGCGGCCGCAGTGGCAGCCGGTGAGAACACCGGAGAGGCGCAGGGAAATGGCGGCGGCGGAGGCTCGGATAACTCGGACAACGAGGATGACGGCGATGGGGGAGATGACGGCTCAGACGATGAGGAGATCGCCACCACCTCTGCGGCGGCTGTCAAAATGAAGTTGAAACTCAACAAGTCTCTGGCCAGTGCCCCCGCCACGCCCACGCAGTCCTCGTCGTCGAACGTGGGCAGCAGTGGGGCCGCAACCACATCCAAGAAGCAGACGCGACGCAAGCGGTCGCAGAAGAAGTACACCATCTCGGACGACGACGATGACGATATGGACTAGCTACCGCTGGGCGTGATCTTCAAGCGCGCCGTCTCCTCGGATAACGATGGCGGCCTGGGCAATTGATTTTTAGTTTAAGTTTAACTATCACTCTCGGGGAAGATGCTTACCGAAATGCTTAGTGCATAAGCATTTCACTAAACACCTTCCACCCCTCTATCCAGCTATCGCTATCCATCAATCTGTCGTAGTAATAGGTTCCTCTTAGGTTTCCCTTTTTGAATGATTTAGAAACACAAACATGTTTTCACCCATTTACTCTATTAATTGTATTTAAAATTAAATGCTTTTAAAAATAAATGCATATACTAAACATACAAATGACGCTTTTAAATCCAGGTTAACGAACAACTAAATTGGTATTTATCGGTCCAGACAAGGATTCATGATGATGAAGGGTATTATGAATTTTGTTTTCCCATTATTTACTTAAATAACTTATGTACTATATGTATTTAAAAGGATTTTTTGAGATATTCAAGCTGATATTGAGCTGATATGGATTTGCAGAGAGATTAAAACTATACCAAATATCTTAATTATATTTTCATGATGACTGGCATACCTTTTTTTTAAAAGCATTTTTTCCCAACTGTTTACCCCTTTTAAATCAAAATTAGTTTTATGGTGATCATTAGATTTTGTTATTCTTTTTTTTTTTTGTACAAAAGCTCTTTGCTTTACTTGCCCCCGACGTGCGGCTGCTGATCAGCCTTTCGAATAAGTTGCTCTATCTCCGCTCTTAAAGTCTCTGTTCCGGCACAGATTAGATCCGGCTTCAAAGGAACCACCTCAGTCCCAAGGATACATGTCCTCGATGTGAAAGGCGTCCAGGTTACCAGCGGCTACCATGCAGAGTGAAAGTACCACAGCCGAGTAGGCAAGGAGCCTGAAACAAAAACAGGTTTATCAAAGGGAACTTCACAACGTTAGGTTGAAAACCAACCTCCTAGCCTGTGATCCCACATGGTAGATCCTCTTGATGTGCCTGTTCCGAGTCTTTGGATCTTTGCAGTAGGCAAACCTCATACGCCACATTGGCATCGTTGAGATGCTTACAGTTGCTCACCCGAATCGGCTTTCCATTGCAGAAGGCACCCTGTCCCAGTTTGGCCGTGTACAGCTTGTTCTGGGCGGATTATTGACCACTCTGTGAGGAGTCAATAGACTCCCCACAAATAGCCGACACCAACCAGCCAAACGCCAACAACACAAATAGCCCCTACATAAAACAACACAAGAACAACACAGGCAGCCTATTAAGCAACCGAAAACAAAACCACAAAAAACCAATACGAACTATGTAAAAAAAATAAGTTAATATATAAGAATATAAGCCCTGTATATTTAAGATAAATAGATTTACTTAGATTTAAGCCATACATACCTACGATAGTTCTTGATTTTGCCATCACCCACCCGTTCTCTCATCACACACACACACCAGCGCAGTGGTCCCCATAATCGAGTGCCGTGAGCCAAACCCAATACGCGCTACCGCTGACCCCTTTCGCTCTTTTGCAAATACCAAAATAAAGCCCTTTCTTACTCAGTATCCCGGTGGTTGCCACTCTGCCTCTCAAGTCAGCCCACCGCTCGTCGAAGACCCTTGTCACAGATCTTTATAAATTTTCTGTAAAGAGATCCTGGCCTGACTGAGCTTCACCCCAGCCTTCGAAGTACCTTACAACTCCCATCCCCCGTTTTCCATTTTCCAGTTCCCAGTTCCTTCTGGTCAATGTTGGGACTTGATCTATGCGAGGGCGTCTGTCTTTATCCCCAATGCGATCCGATTCAACTTCACATAAACAATTGCTTAACCAAACACCCTCTTATTCGGCCTGGACAGACAGACGCCACACACCGCATTTATTTTTCATGCATTTGTCCCTTAATCCTAATTATTTACAACTTCAAAAAAAATAATTATAAAAGAATTAATTTTTTTTTGTAAAAGGTGATTTTCCTCCCTTGGCTTCATTTTCTATTCTATTTTTTCCATGCGATGTTTCGCTACCTAATCCTAATTACTTAAAATCCTATGATACAGTTGTTGTCACTTGTTCCCTACGTCCGATATTATATTCCCTCCAACCTATTTGTTGTGTTGATCATCTGTTATGATGTATGTGTATTCCTACTTAAACTTAAATAACCTATTTTTGTATCAACCATGCTACTTACTACCGGGACTCGAACCCGGACCGGCGGCGCATGGGGTTCAACAAACACCGTTAGGGTGTCGTCTCTACCCATTGGGCTACCCCGGCGGCAATGTGAGAGCTTTCAGAGATCTACTTGAACCTCACCTCCCAGCATTAAATAAATAATTTAAATAAAAACTTCCCGAGACATTTTGAAATACCGGGTTTCGAACCCGGAGCGGCGGCGCATGGGGTTCCCAGACCCGTTTGGCTGTCATCTCTACCCACTAGGCTACCCCCGGCAGCAAGGTGACAGCTTTCGAAAACCTACTTGAATCTCACCTACTAGGATTTCCGGTTTCCTGTGTTCTCGAAAAAACTCAGTTAGCGTTGGGGCAGAGTTCAAAAAGTGATTTCAAGGGCGTTTTTTTTTAAAGTTTGAATAAAAAGGTCAGGAAACAAGTTGAAATGCAAATATTTAGTTAAAGTCTGTCTCGGCCAGTGGCCCCGCCACGCCCACGCAGTCCTCGTCGTCGAACGTGGCGTCTAGAAGCAGACGCGACGCAAGCGGTCGCAGAAGAAGTACACCATCTCGGATGACGACGATGACGATATGGACTAGCTACCGCTGGGCGTCAAGCGCGTCGTCTCCTCGGATAACGATGGCGGCCTGGGCAATTGATTTTTAGTTTAATTTCAACCATTACTCTCGGGGAAGATGCTTACCGAAATGCTAATTGTATAAGCATTTTACTAAACACCTTCCACCCCTCTATCCAGCTATTGCTATCCATCAATCTGTCCTAGTAATAGGTCTTAGGTTTCCCTTTTTCAATGATTTAAAAACACAAACATGTTTTCACCCATTTACTCTATTAATTGTATTTAAAATTAAATGCTTTTAAAAATAAATAAATATACTAAACATACAAATGACGCTTTTAAATCCAGGTTAACGAACAACTAAATTGGTATTTATCGGTCCAGACAAGGATTCATGATGATGAAGGGTATTATGAATTTTGTTTTCCCATTATTTACTTTATTAACTTATGTACTATATGTATTTAAAAGGGTTTTTTGAGATATTCAAGCTGATATTGAGCTGATATGGATTTGCAGAGAGTTTAAAACTATACCAAATATCTTAATTATATTTTCATGATGACTGGCATACTTATTTTTTAGAAGCATTTTTTCCTAACTATTTACCCCTTTTAGGGCTTTGCGTTAGCTGTCAAAGGCATCGGGCGTGTTTTCGGCTGTTAAAAAAGAAAAGGGAATATTAAAAAAATAAATAAATTTCTCATGTTTTCGTGAAGTGAAAACGCATTTGTGCTTCGCTGCGAACTTCATTGTGAAGACTCTATGGACAAGTCCACCTCTGTGGCAAAAGCTATTGCTTTTCCAAATCCGACCTCTAAGGTCGTGGTGTCAGTGCCCTTACTTTCCGTTGTTTGTTCCAATCGCGAAAACCAAGTGAAACCAAAAGACAGTCGCATTTGTTCTGGGTGCCGCCCGACTGCGGGGCTTGCGTCTTATCCACTTGGCTACGCTCTTCTTTTTGGAGGTCGGATAAAGGACCTATTTATCCAACAAGTCAGTAAAGCAGTGCATAATGTCTAATCTTTCGGACACTGAAGAAGATCTAAACATCAGCGAGATCGTGGCTCGGCAGCAACGACAAATGAGTGAGGCACTTAATTGCTCATTAGCCGAATTCAGCCGGCGATTTGCCGCCTCCACCTCCGTCAACACCGCACCAATATCAAACATTGATGTAGAACCAGAGCTAGCAGTCATAAATGGCGACGATGAAGACTGGTGGACCCCTAGATCGGCGAATAACAAACGCCGTCTCGTCTCCGGATCACCGAGCTCTGCCACCAAAATTCGGAGAAATTCCAATAGCCCAAAAACTAATATTTCTACCAACCAATTTGATGAACTGTCAGACATGGACACAGACATCGAAAGTCCTCAAGCAGTCAGCCCCGAAGACCCAGCAATAGCTAGTACTTCAACCGGCTTAAGGCAGGTTAACACCAACAGTAGCAATACTATTTACAACGGCAGTAGTCCTACCAACAGCTCTTCCAACAATGCCGGAAGCAACAACAACAATGTCAGCCGGCCTGGGAGTCAGGAACATTTATCCACTCACAAACCTCCTCCGATTGTGGTTGATAACTGTGAGAATCTGAACGGGCTTATCAGATCCACAGACAAAATCGTTGACCCGACCAAATACTCCCTAAAATGTCATTCCAACAACTCTGTTTCCATCTTAGCTGCTGATTCTGATACATACAGAGCTATAACAAAATCCCTGACTCTTAAAAAAGTGCCTTTCCATTCTTGGCAGTTGAAAGAAGAAAGGTCTTATCGAGTTGTCATCTGTGGTGTCCATCATTCTGTCCCGGATGAAAACATAAAGGAAAGCCTTACATCGGCTGGTCACACGGTTCGATTTGTTAACAGGCCCAGAAGCCGCTTCGACAAAACCAAGTTCGTTAACTTAGTTTTTGTTGAACTGGAACCAGCGACAAATAACAAAGAAATCCATGATATTAAAACGCTTTGTCGGCAACGGGTTCATGTTGAACTCCCCTACAAAAAGAATGATGTTGTTCAATGCCACCGGTGTCAAGCTTTTGGACACACAAAAAATCATTGCCACACGAAAGAATTTCGGTCCTTGTCGCCCAGTTTGACAAATTATTCCAAATGATGGTGTCGATGATGGGTCTTGTCTCTAGACTCCTACCACAAACTTCTCCAGGAACTGCACAAGCAGTTGCTCTCGATCATATTACAAACTACACGGATATGACGTTCACCTATCTAACCATCCCGCCGATCGCCACCGTGGAGGCTCTGCAGTCATCATAAAGTCCTGTCTCAAACACTACCAATTTTTAACAATGGAACATCAAAGTGCTCAATGTGTCGCAGTCAAAGTCAATACGGATCAAGGTGAAATTGCTATTGCCTCTATTTATTGTCCTCCAAACTTCCAGCGCACCTATGAGGACTTTATAACACTGTTTGAGGAACTAGGACCCAAATTTCTAATTGCCGGTGATTGGAATGCACACCATCGACTTTGGGGTTGTCGAAATTCCTCTGTCAGTGGAAGAGTATTAGCAAACTATATCCTCAGCTCTCACATTCAAGTCCTTGCAACCGGAGGTCCTACCCACTACCCGTACAGCCAGCGTACGCCTACTGCAATTGATTTTGCCATATATGGGGGGATTCGCTCTGAGCTCCTATCCATCTCAGGGAGCTTGGAACTTTGTTCTGACATCCCCTTGTTAATTGAGCTAAGAAGTGCTGCTCTCTAGGTCTCCCAAAACGCGAACTCTCCCTCGAAACGCGAACATTCCACGGTTTCAGGCAGCAATTAACCAGCTAGTAAACCTCAACATGGTCCAGAGCTCCCCTGAAGACATTGATGATGCCACTGAGATCTTTGTGCGAAACATTCACATTGCTACCGAATCTTCAACCTGTGGACAAGGTTCAATAAACCTATCAGATCCACCTCATGGTCTTTTAAAACCTGAGGTCCTGGATTTGGTGAGGTCGAAAAGAGCCTTGCGTCGCAGATTCATGCGGTCGCAAAATCCGGCCGACAATCGTCGCGCTGAGAACGATCTAAAGAAGTTGCTGCATAAGACGAAAAATGATTACTTCTCAGATCTACTACGCAATGCAGACCCCACAAAACCGTATGGATTTAACCTCTGGAAAGCAGCAAAGTCAGTTAAACGGCAGCCCCCACGCAGAATCCCTATAAAGCGTGCTGACAACACTTGGTGCAGATCGGATGCAGATATTTCTCTGGCTTTTGCTGACGAACTAGAAGGTCGATTTCAGCCGTTTGATCTTGCTAGGAGTGAGGACGTGGAAGCAACACTGGCATTTCTTAATACTTCCTGCCCAGATGTAGAGCCCATTCGTCATGTAAGTCCGGAAGAAGTTTGTCTCCAAATTAAAAAACTGCACGTTAATAAAGCACCAGGATTTGACGGAATCGATAATAGAGTTGCCAAAGCTCTACCCAAAAAGGGCATATTATTCCTTGTGCTCCTGTTCAACTCCATGTTACGTATTTACCACTTCCCCACACAATGGAAGTGCGCAGTATATCGATGTTACCTAAGCCAGGCAAACCAGAGAACCTTGTTACGTCTTACCGGCCAATAAGCTTGCTGCCAACATTCTTTAAAATATTCGAGAGAATATTTCTTAGCAGAATGATGGCAGTAAGAAGTGTTCAGGATGCCATTCCAGATCACCAGTTTGGCTTCCGGAATCACCATGGAACGCCAGAACAGGGTCATCGAGTAACGCAGCATATCTTAGATGCTTTTGAAAACGGTCAGTACAGCTCTGCTATCTTCCTTGACGTAAAGGAAGCCTTCGATAGAGTGAGGCACAATGGATTGCTTTTTAAGCTAAAAACACTCCTACCAGCTGCTCAATATCTCCTGAAATCGTACCTGCTAGAGCGAAAATTTATGGTTGATGTGAGAGGTGAAAGATCATCCATTAGAAGCAGTCGAGCTGGAGTACCGCAAGGGAGTGTTTTGGGTCCTGTGTTATATACCCTTTACACCTCTGACTTGCCCAATCCCAGAGAACCGGGGATACTTCTTGCAACGTATGCTGATGACACAGCCTTTATCGCAAACTCAGCGTGTCGAATCGAGGCTTCTAGAAAAACGCAAAGCTTTTTGGATACATATAGCGAGTGGACGAAGAGGTGGAACATATCCATAAATGGAAATAAATCGCAACACTGCAATTTTTCCCTGAGACACAAAATCCTCCCTAGGGTCAAATTTCAGGACACGCTAATTCCTCAATCTCCTCAGGCCCAATACCTGGGATTGATCTTGGATAAGCGGCTCACGTGGAGGCAACACACCACCAAAATAGCAGCAGCATGCCGTGGAAAACTCAGAAAGCTAAACTGGATGCTAAAGTCCACCAGCAAGCTGAGCCTCAGCAACAAAGTGCTGCTATACAAAGCAATAGTTGTTCCTGCTATGACCTATTGCATCCAGATATGGGGTACTGCGTCCGACTCTAACGTAATGAAAGTGCAAAGGATCCAAAACCGGTCGCTGCGCACAATCACAAATGCACCCTGGTTTGCTAGAAATGCAGACATCGCTAACGACCTCTAACGCTCTTTTGCAAATACCAAAATAAAGCCCTTTCTTACTCAGTATCCCGGTGGTTGCCACTCTGCCTCTCAAGTCAGCCCACCGCTCGTCGAAGACCCTTGTCACAGATCTTTATGAATTTTCTGTAAAGAGATCCTGGCCTGACTGAGCTTCACCCCAGCCTTCGAAGTACCTTACAACTCCCATCCCCCGTTTTCCATTTTTCAGTTCCCAGTTCAGTCAATGTTGGGACTTGATCTATGCGAGGGCGTCTGTCTTTATCCCCAATGCGATCCAATTCAACTTTACATAAACAATTGCTTAACCAAACACCCTCTTATTCGGCCTGGACAGACAGACGCCACACACCGCATTTATTTTTCATGCATTTAATCCTAATTATTTACAACTTCAAAAAAAATAATTATAAAAGAATTAATTTTTTTTTGTAAAAGGTGATTTTCCCTTGGCTTCATTTCTATTCTATTTTTTCCATGCGATGTTTCGCTACCTAATCCTAATTACTTAAAATCCTATGATACAGTTGTTGTCACTTGTTCCCTACGTCCGATATTATATTCCCTCAACCTATTTGTTGTGTTGATCATCTGTTATTATTTATATGTATGTCCCCTACCTAACTTAAATATCCTATTTTTTTATCAACCATGCTACTTACTACCGGGACTCGAACCCGGACCGGCGGCGCATGGGGTTCAACAAACACCGTTAGGGTGTCGTCTCTACCCATTGGGCTACCCCGGCGGCAATGTGAGAGCTTTCAGAGATCTACTTGAACCTCACCTCCCAGCATTAAGTAAATAATTTAAATAAAAACTTCCCGAGACATTTTGAAATACCGGGTTTCGAACCCGGAGCGGCGGCGCATGGGGTTCCCAGACCCGTTTGGCTGTCATCTCTACCCACTAGGCTACCCCCGGCAGCAAGGTGACAGCTTTCGAAAACCTACTTGAATCTCACCTACTAGGATTTCCGGTTTCCTGTGTTCTCGAAAAAACTCAGTTAGCGTTGGGGCAGAGTTCAAAAAGTGATTTCAAGGGCGTTTTTTTTTAAAGTTTGAATAAAAAGGTCAGGAAACAAGTTGAAATGCAAATATTTAGTTAAAGTCTGTCTCGGCCAGTGGCCCCGCCACGCCCACGCAGTCCTCGTCGTCGAACGTGGCGTCTAGAAGCAGACGCGACGCAAGCGGTCGCAGAAGAAGTACACCATCTCGGATGACGACGATGACGATATGGACTACCTACCGCTGGGCGTCAAGCGCGCCGTCTCCTCGGATAACGATGGCGGCCTGGGCAATTGATTTTTAGTTTAAGTTCAACCATTACTCTCGGGGAAGATGCTTACCGAAATGCTAATTGTATAAGCATTTCACTAAACACCTTCCACCCCTCTATCCAGATATCGCTATCCATCAATCTGTCCTAGTAATAGGTTCCTCTTAGGTTTCCATTTTTGAATGATTTAGAAACACAAACACGTTTTCACCCATTTACTCTATTAATTGTATTTAAAATTAAATGCTTTTAAAAATAAATGCATATACTAAACCTACAAATGACACACCTAAATCCAGGTTAACGAACAACTAAATGAATAAACCCGAATCTGGGTTTAGAAGATGAAGATGAAGGCTATGACGGCTTAAAAAAATCGAAACATTTTATGTACTATATGTATGTATGTAAAAGAATTTTTTGAGAAGAGATGCTCATCAGAGCAGCACACTCTTGGAGCTGTAATGTAGCAGAATATAGGAAGGTTCAAGATTCCTGGGATTCCTCAACGAGGCACCTACAACTGAAATCAGGAGGGTTTGGTCTTCCACCCTACCTAACATACTAAGCATAAGCGTACGTAGAGTCCTGAAACATGGTCGCTAACCAAGTGGATCGTAAGATTCCCATTAATCCTGGTACTTTCCGGAGTTCAGCTCGGACTTCCGGCTGCTTGGCAGCTACTTGAAAGGATCTTAGTAGCAGCGTATCGTCCAGGGACATGCTATTGACTAGTCGTATTCCCGTCCTAAAAGCCGTAGAACTAACCATGGGATATATGTTAACATCTGCATTCGTAGGCACATTCGTGTAGGCCACCCCTAACGACCTTCTGTTCAGGTAGAACTCCAGGTGGCCACGAGCCCGATCCAAGTAAACACCAATTAGGCAGCCCTGTCCAAACTTCCGACCATAGGTTGACATTTTCCCGCCGTGCTGAATTTTCCCGGAGTAGGAGTAACCCCAAGAGTCGCTGTTGCCGCCCAGAGCGGAGGTAAATTTTGAGATGAATTCCCCCAGATTGACCTTATCCGTTCCGATGCCAACCATCTGGAGATAGGGAAATATAAATCAGAGTTCTTATCTATTGAATTGTGTCGTGTGCGATCCGCTAACTCACCACGTCTGTGCCGACTAGTGGCGTCATAACGAGCGTCTCCCAACAATGGACCATTCCGGCTTTCAGTGGCCGCGATCCTCTTGCAATAGCTGTGCCATTGCTGCGCCGCGGATGGAAGATAATGTCCCTTTCATCGATCACTATGACATTTGTATTATCTTCGACGCACCACTCCCATGGATTTACACTGCCTGCGGCATCCTCCCCACAGCGACAGCTTACCAAATCGGGGATGCGTCCCCTGTAATGGGCAACCTCGATGGAGCTGGGAAAGCGACAGTTGCAAAGTCGGGAATTCATTATGAATCAGATTATTTGAAAATTTCGCTGCTCTTATAAACTGCCAATCGCGACGATCTTTTGATGACTGACTCTCAGTAGCGTAGCATCGACATGCTTATCGCAGGCTCTAATTATGGGAAAGATCAGCAAACAAATACAAATGGAATTATAGATAAAGCCACTTTCTTTCCCTTTTCAAAAAATATATGGGTAATTCTCTAGGAAGAACAACCGCGACCAAAAATATACAAGTTTTCAAAAATGTTTTGTATCAACATTGTTACATTAAGAAATGTTCTAATTGATTAAATTCAAAGAAATTTTGCATATTCTAAATGCGATTTTGTGTTATTTTGATAGAAAACAACATAAACAAGAGGGGAAGGAAAAAAACGAAGTAATATTAAGTTTTATTACATTTAACTATACTTATTTTATTTAACGTTCTGACAGTTACTGTTTTACATATTCTCTACATGCACCGATCGTTTCTATGGCAGCTATATGATATAGTTATCCGATTTTCATAAAATTAAAAACCAAAATTCTGAAATAATAATAAAAGCTCATATCTCAGAGTAGATGAAAATACGTAGAAAAACAACGAAGTTATAATGTTTTTTCTATTAATTTCCGGATATGGCAGCTATAAGATATAGTTCTCCGATTTTCATAAAATGAAAACCAAAATTCTATATTTCATAAATTATGACAATATGTTAAAAAACAACTAAGTTATAATTTTTATACCCTTGCAGGGTATTATAATTTCAGTCAGAAGTTTGCAACGCAGTGAAGAAGACGTTTCCGACCCTATAAAGTATATATATTCTTGATCAGCATCAACAGCCGAGTCGATCTAGCCATGTCCGTCTGTCCGTCTGTCCGTCCGTCTGTCCGTCTGTCCGTCCGTCCGTCTGTCCGTTTCTACGCAAACTAGTCCCTCAGTTTTAAAGCTATCTGAATGAAACTTTGCATATAGTCTTCTATATACTCTCACTGCTATATATGTCGGAACGGGTCGGATCGGACGACTATATCATATAGCTCCCATACAAATGTTCGATAAATTTTTAGAAAAAAAATTATAACTTTGCTGTTTTTCAATATTTCATTGCTGTTTTTCAATCATTTTTGAGATATAGCCATTTTATATTATTTCAGAATTTTGGTAAAAATTTTATGAAAATCGGACGACTATATCTTATAGCTGCCATAGGAACGATCGGCAAATGAATAGGAAAAAAATTATAACTTCGTTGTTTTTCAACATATTCTTATCTACTTTTAGATATAAGCTTTTTTTATTATTTCAGAATTTTGGTAACAATTTTATGAAAATGGGACAACTATGTATATCGTATAGCTGCCATATAAACGATCGGTAAATGTAGAGAAAATGTAAAGCTGGGAATGTAAAACTCTAACTGTCAAACTGTAAACATAATAAGTATAGGTAAAATGTAATGAAACTCTGTTTTGTGTGTGTTTCAGCATTTAAATCTATAATATAAACATCAAAACCAATCTGCAAGGGTATACAAACTTCGGCGTGCCGAAGTTAGCTTCCTTTCTTGTTTATATAAAAATTTGTCGAGCATTTCTATGAGAGCTATATGATATAGTCGTTCGATCCGGCCCGTTCCGACGTGTATAGCAGTGAGAGTATTCAAAAGACTTTATACAAAGTTTCATTAAGATAGCTTCAAAACTGAGGGATTAGTTTGAAGAAACCGGCAGATGGCTAGATCGACTCGGCTATTGATGCTGATCAAGAATAAATATATATTAAAGAGTCGGAAATGTCTGCAAACTTCTGACTGCAAAGGTATAAAAAGGGCATGTTTGATTCAATAATAACTTATAAAACTGAGGCATTGCGCTTTGAATTTTTCTTTCCAGAATGGCTCGAAGATTGTAAGAGTCAAAAGAAAATAATTTACTTTAAAAGTTTAAAAAACATTAAAAAAAAAAAACAAATTCACGTGTGATAGGGATTAAAATTCAATTGAAAAAAAAACCTTTTTATTTTTAAGTCAACCCAAATACATTATTAAGATCAATCTATGCACAATACATTGCAATTGATTGCACTAAATTCTTTCATTACGTATAGTACTTCAACTTCTGGTCGCTCGCGTTCGAATGCATTACATTGTGCTAGTTATCTAGAAAACGAACAACGAATAAAATCGATCTTAGCACCAAGTTTAGTGCTAAACAAAAGCTTAAGGTTTCAAATTTTATAAAATTCAATTATAGCCTTGGCACATATTCTTTTCAGTTTGAATACCTACAAATACCGCATCGACATCAGAGAATTGCCCATATACATATGTACATATGTTAATAATGACTCTTTAATTAAATGCATACCTAACATGTTTTAAAATATTTAGTTCTACATTCTAAAGAAGGTAGTGAAAGTACTCGTCGCACATCTCATGGAGGGAAGAGGCGTGTTCCTCGTCGCCACTGTCGCTGCGCCGCAACGCGATCTTGTGGGCATTGGCGTACAAGTCTTCCTCGTCTAAGCTTGCCTCGTCGGTTTCTACGAAAGGAAATCGCAGAGTTTGTAACAGATGGAAGGAGATTATGCTCCACTGAACTCACCGCGGTACTTCTGCTTGCGGCCCAGCCTTAACTTGGAGCTGGACAGGACAGCCTCGTCACCCAAGTCCAAATCGGTTTCCTGCGATCTCCGGGAGTAGCGCACGGGCGGGGCTAAGAACCAGTAGGATTGCAGAATGCTCTTGAGTCCCGGCATCTGCTGTAGTTCAGCGAGCTTGTGCGGCTGCTTGGACAGGGCTTGGAAGGAGCGGAGCTGAAGAGTCACCGGCTGGGACGTACAGTTAATCAGTCTTATCACAGACTTGGCCGCCGTGGAGCAGACCATGGGATATATGTTGACATCTGGATCCGTGGGCACATTCGTGTAGGCCACACCTAACGCCCTCCGGTTTAGGTAGAACTCCAGGTGGCCACGTGACCGGTCCAAGGACACACCAATCAGGCAGCCCTGGGAGAACTTCTGGCCGTAGGGCAGCTGCTCCCCGCAGTGCTGGACCTTGCCCGAGTACGAGAAGCCCCAGGATTGGGCATTCGTGCCAAGGGCCGAGACGAAGTGAAACTTGAACTGCCCTAGATTAACGCTCTCAGTGCCGATGCCGAACATCTAGAAGAGGAAAAACAGGGAAGCAGATTGTTAAGAGCACACATTGTTTGCATTGAACTTTTGCAGGCTTATCAGCTAGCTAGTTGGGCTGTCTGGGAAGATTCCTCCCCCTCCTTCGGCAGCGTCGCTTATCTTATCGCCGCATTGTAATCTGTAATCCCCACAATGAAGCGTACAATTAAATCGTTTCCAATGGAATCGAGCACACCAGATGCCCCACAGCAGTGTTGTTCCACTTTCAGGTGCGACTTTGCCTGACATTCATCTCGTCGATCAGCCATCCATGCATCCCAACTAGTTGCCAGGCCGCTGCCTCTCCCGGGTTGATAACCCGACCCACGCACTCACCACATCTGTGCCGGCTAGAGCCGTGATGACGCGCATTTCCCAGAAGTGCACCATGCCCGGCTTCAGTGCGCGTTCCCCCCTCACAATCGCCGTTCCCTGACTGTAGGTGGGATGGAAAATAATGTCCCTATCCGTCACTATGGCATCCGAGTCCTCTGCCGCCTGCCACTTCCAGGGATTAACGTTACCCGGCACATCCTCGCCGCAGCGACACCTGACCAGGTCGGGAATGTGGCCCTTGTGGCTAGTGACCTCGATGGAGTTGGGAAAGGGGCAGTCGCAGAAGCCGGGATTGCAGGCGTCCTGATGCGGGGGCGGTAGCATGTCGATGCTGTTTGTTTGTTGTTCTCCTGTTCCGGCGAGGTGGATCGCTTTTGACGGGAGCGTGCAATGATCTGGAACGTCGACGGTCGGCGAATGCGTCCAGTTAAACCAGATCCACCATATACATATAAGCTTCAGAGCGATCTGAACCGAACAAAAAACAAAAAAACAAAACGATGCGCTGTAAACAGACGCCGGCGTCGCTGCCGGCGTCGAAACCTGCAGCATGCGCCTAGAAAATACCAAAAAAATAGTTTCGGTATTTTTGTATAAGAACCGGTAATATATTTAATTGATTAATTTTAATTCTTTTTTAAACCTTTTAAATAATTAATACAGAACGAGAGGCAAAATCTCGAGAACAACTGTTTCATTAAATTTTGTAACCGCTCTGGAAATACTAAATGCAATTTTCTAGTATTTCGATTTCATCCTTTTAAAACGCCGCTCACGAACAGCCGTTCGAAACTATTTGCATCTCTCTTTCTCTCTCACTGCTTTAAAACTCCGTTTTACCCTTTCGATAGCGCGCTTAAAAAAAGGCACACTAAAAAGTATTTTTTCTTAGGGTATTTTTTATCTTAGACTGCACGGTCACACTGCAGACCACAAACAGCGGCTTTCCACAACGTTTTCTTTTGGAAAAATCATTAAAATAGGTTAATTTAAGTATTAAATACCCGTGCAAAACACTCAACAGTCATGGCTGATGCCGCAGCACGTCAGCTGCAGTACGAGTACAAGGCGGTAAGTGCGGAATCGCGACCGGAAAAATGCCTGCCCATGCGGCGTCTTTGGAAGATTTCACAAACACACTAAATGCACAATTTTATCTTTTCAGAACTCCAATCTTGTGCTGCAAGCCGATGTCCGACTCATTGAGAGGCCGCGTCGCGATGAGGCCACCGGCGAGGTGTGCTCCCTGGTGGGGAAGCTGGACGGCACCCGGATGGGCGATCGGTACCAGCGCACCAAGCCGGAGAAGACTGAGGAGCGCAAGGTGAAGCGGCAAAAACGCGACGAGGCCCAGTACGACTTTGAGCGTATGAAGGGCGCCACGCTGCTGTCCGAGGGCATCGACGAGATGGTCGGCATTGTGTACCGTCCCAAGACGCAGGAAACGCGGCAAACCTACGAGGTGCTGCTCAGTTTCATCCAGGAAGCCCTCGGGGATCAGCCTCGGGATATCCTGTGCGGGGCCGCCGATGAGATCCTGGCTGTGCTGAAGAACGATCGCCTGAAGGATCGTGAGCGCAAGAGGGATGTGGACAGTTTGCTGGGCTCTGTGACCGACGAGCGGTTCGCTTTGCTCGTCAATCTGGGCAAGAAGATCACAGACTTTGGCAGCGACGCTGTCAACGCCCTGACTGCGGCGCCCAACAACGAGGAGCAGATTGACGAGACCTACGGCATCAACGTGCAGTTCGAGGAGTCCGAGGAGGAGAGCGACAATGACATGTACGGCGAGATCCGCGACGACGAGGGCCAGGATGAGGGCGAAGAGGCGCGCATTGATCACACCCTGCATGCGGAGAACGTAAGTAATGTGATTCAGAGGGGCAAACCCTCAGCTAATCCACATTTTCATTCCCAGCTGGCCAGCGAGGAGGCGGCAAACAATGTGAAGAAGGACCGCTCCTTGCATCCGCTGGACATAGACGCCTATTGGCTGCAACGCTGCCTGAGCAAGTTCTACAAGGACGCCATGGTGTCGCAGAGCAAGGCGGCCGATGTGCTCAAGATCCTCAAGGATGCCGCCGACGAGCGGGACTGCGAGAACCAATTGGTGCTCCTGTTGGGCTACGATTGCTTTGACTTTATCAAGCAGTTGAAGGTGAACCGGCAGATGATTCTGTACTGCACCATGTTGGCCTCGGCTCAAACGGACAGCGAGCGTCAAAGGATACGCGAGAAAATGCGCGGAAACTCGGCGCTGGCCAAGATTCTCAGGCAGCTGGACACGGGCAAGTCTGAGGAGCAGGAGGAGGGCGAGACCCGTGGAAGTAAGCGCGGAAAAGGCGATGCCGAAGACGGCGGAGCAGCAGCTGCCGGTCAGGTAGCTGGTGTTCGCCAGCTCCTCGAATTGGACGAACTGGCCTTCACACAGGGATCCCACTTCATGGCCAACAAGCGGTGTCAGCTGCCCGATGGCTCGTACCGAAAGCAGCGAAAGGGCTACGAGGAGGTGCATGTGCCGGCCCTGAAGCCAGTGCCCTTCGACTCCAACGAGGAGCTGCAGCCGGTGGACAAGCTGCCAAAGTATGTGCAGCCCGTGTTCGAAGGCTTCAAGACGCTCAACCGCATCCAGAGTCGCCTGTACAAGGCCGCGCTGGACAGTGATGAGAATATGCTGCTGTGCGCACCCACCGGAGCGGGTAAGACCAATGTGGCGCTGCTCACCATGATGCGGGAGATCGGTAAGCACATCAACGAGGACGGCACCATCAATGCGCAGGACTTCAAGATCATCTACGTGGCTCCCATGAAGTCGCTGGTGCAGGAAATGGTGGGCAACTTTGGACGCCGTCTCGCCTGCTATAATCTCACGGTCTCCGAGTTGACCGGCGACCATCAACTGACCAGGGAGCAAATCGCTGCCACCCAGGTGATAGTGTGCACCCCGGAGAAGTGGGATATCATCACGCGCAAGGGCGGAGAGCGGACATTTGTGAGCCTGGTGCGTTTGGTCATCATCGATGAGATCCATCTGCTGCACGACGAGCGAGGTCCGGTGCTAGAGGCTCTCGTGGCACGTACCATTCGTAATATTGAGACCACCCAGGAGGAGGTGCGCCTGGTGGGACTTTCGGCCACGCTGCCCAACTACCAGGATGTGGCCACCTTCCTGCGAGTGAAGCCGGACAAGGGGCTCTTCTACTTTGACAACAGCTATCGGCCAGTGTCCCTGGAGCAGCAGTATATCGGTGTCACAGAGAAGAAGGCCCTGAAGCGCTTCCAGGTGATGAACGAGATCGTCTACGAGAAGACCATGGAGCACGCCGGCCGAAATCAGGTTCTGGTCTTTGTACATTCGCGCAAGGAGACCGGCAAGACGGCCAGGGCTGTGAGGGACATGTGCCTGGAGCAGGACACCCTCGGCAGCTTCCTGAGAGAGGGATCCGCCAGCATGGAAGTGCTTCGCACCGAGGCCGAGCAGGTGAAGAACACCGAGCTGAAGGAGCTGCTGCCCTACGGCTTTGCCATCCATCATGCTGGAATGACGCGCGTAGATCGTACCCTGGTGGAGGATCTCTTTGCGGACAGGCACATCCAGGTGCTGGTCTCCACAGCCACCTTGGCCTGGGGTGTGAATCTGCCGGCGCACACAGTTATTATCAAGGGCACGCAGGTCTACAATCCGGAGAAGGGTCGCTGGGTGGAGCTGAGTGCCCTGGATGTCCTGCAGATGTTGGGTCGTGCCGGACGACCGCAGTATGACACCAAGGGCGAGGGAATCCTCATCACCAACCACAGCGAGCTGCAGTTCTACCTCTCCCTGCTCAACCAGCAGCTGCCCATCGAGTCGCAGTTCATCTCCAAGCTACCCGACATGCTCAACGCTGAGATTGTCCTGGGAACGGTGCAGCATCTGCAGGACGCAGTCAACTGGCTTGGCTATACGTACCTCTATATCAGGATGTTAAGGAACCCCACCTTGTACGGGGTATCCCATGACGCGATTAAGGCCGATCCCCTGCTGGAGCAGCACCGTGCGGATCTGCTGCACACCGCTGCCTGCTGTCTGGAGAGGAGTGGCCTAGTCAAGTACGAACGGAAGACGGGACACTTTCAGGTCACCGATCTCGGCCGGATCGCCTCCCACTATTACCTAACGCACGAAACCATGCTGACGTACAACCAGTTGCTAAAGCAAACGCTCAGCGAGATCGAGCTGTTCCGCGTGTTTTCCCTGTCTTCCGAATTCCGACACATCTCGGTGCGCGAGGAGGAGAAGCTGGAGCTGCAGAAGCTAATGGAACGAGTGCCCATTCCCATCAAGGAGTCCATTGAGGAGCACAGCGCCAAGGTGAATGTGCTCCTGCAGGCCTATATTTCGCAACTAAAGCTAGAGGGCTTCGCCCTGATGTCGGACATGGTGTTCATCACCCAGTCCGCTGCTCGCCTAATGCGTGCCATCTTCGAGATCGTTCTGACCCGCGGTTGGGCCCAGCTCGCGGACAAAACGCTGACCCTCTGCAAGATGATCGATCGACGCATGTGGCAGTCCATGACGCCGCTGCGCCAGTTCAAGAAGATGCCCGACGAGATAGCCAAGAAGCTGGAGAAGAAGCACTTCCCCTGGGCCAGGCTCTACGACCTGGAGCCCCACGAACTGGGCGAGCTGATCCGCGTACCCAAGTTGGGCAAGACCATTCACAAGTTTGTGCACCAGTTCCCCAAGCTGGAGCTTTCCACGCACATTCAGCCCATTACCAGGGGAACGCTGAGGGTGGAGCTCACCATTACGCCCGATTTCCAGTGGGACGAAAAGGTGCACGGCCAGTCGGAGGGATTCTGGGTGCTCATTGAGGACGTGGACTCGGAGCTCATACTCCATCACGAGTTTTTCCTGCTGAAGCAAAAGTACTCGCAGGACGAGCACCAGCTGAAGTTCTTTGTGCCCGTTTTTGAGCCCCTGCCGCCGCAGTACTTCCTGCGGATTGTCTCGGATCGCTGGATCGGCGCAGAGACCCAGCTGCCCGTGTCCTTCCGTCACCTGATCCTGCCCGAGAAGAACATGCCGCCGACGGAGCTGCTTGATCTGCAGCCGCTGCCCATCAGTGCTCTGCGTCAGCCCAAGTTCGAGACCTTCTACTCACAGCGCTTTCCGCAGTTCAATCCCATCCAGACGCAGGTCTTTAACGCGGTCTACAACAGCGATGAGAACGTCTTTGTTGGTGCTCCGACTGGCTCCGGCAAGATGACCATTGCCGAGTTCGCCATCATGCGATTGTTCACCACGCAATCGGATGCCAGGTGCGTCTACCTGGTTTCCCAGGAGGCTCTGGCCGACCTGGTCTTTACGGATTGGCACGGCAAGTTCGGGGCGCTGGACATCAAGGTCGTCAAGTTGACGGGTGAAACGGGAACGGATCTCAAGCTGATAGCCAAGGGACAGCTGGTGATCACGACGGCGGACAAGTGGGATGTCTTGTCTCGACGCTGGAAGCAGCGTAAGAATGTGCAGCTGGTGAACCTGTTTATTGTGGACGAGCTTCAGCTGGTGGGCGGCGAGGATGGGCCCGTGCTGGAGATTGTGTGCTCTAGGATGCGTTACATTAGCTCGCAGATTGAGAAGCAGATCAGGATTGTGGCTCTGTCCGCCTCGCTGACCGATGCCAGGGATGTGGCCCAGTGGCTGGGATGCAATCCCAATGCCACCTTCAACTTCCACCCGAGTGTGCGTCCCATTCCCCTGGAGCTGCACATCCAGGGATTCAATGTCACCCACAACGCCACCAGGATTGCGACGATGTCAAAGCCCGTGTACAATGCCATCCTGAAGTACAGTGTCCACAAGCCGGTGATTGTTTTCGTCTCTTCGAGAAAGCAGGCCCGTCTTACGGCCATCGACATCCTAACCTATGCTGCCTCGGACCTGCAGCCGAATCGTTTCTTCCACGCCGAGGAGGAGGACATCAAGCCGTTCCTGGAGCGAATGACGGATAAAACTTTGAAGGAAACTCTAGCCCAAGGAGTGGCTTACCTCCACGAGGGACTGTCGTCCTCCGATCATCGCCTGGTGGAGCAGCTGTTCGACTCGGGGGCCGTGCAAGTGGCCGTTGTGTCCCGGGATCTCTGCTGGGGCATGAGCATCTCTGCCCACTTGGTTATCATCATGGACACGCAGTTCTACAATGGAAAGAATCACTCCTACGAGGACTATCCCATAACGGACGTGCTGCAAATGATCGGCAGAGCCAACAGGCCCAACGAGGATGCGGATGCCAAGTGCGTGCTGATGTGTCAGAGCAGCAAGAAGGACTTCTTCAAAAAGTTCATCAACGAGCCGCTGCCCATCGAGAGTCACTTGGACCACCGAATGCACGACCACTTCAACGCTGAGGTGGTGACCAAGACGATTGAGAACAAACAGGATGCCGTGGACTATCTCACATGGACCTTCCTCTACCGGAGACTAACCCAGAACCCGAACTACTACAATCTCCAGGGGGTCACGCATCGCCATCTGTCCGATCACCTGTCCGAGTTGGTGGAGAACACACTGAGCGACCTGGAGCAGTCGAAGTGCATCAGTGTGGAGGATGACATGGACACGTTGCCCCTGAATCTGGGCATGATTGCGGCCTATTATTACATAAACTACACGACGATTGGTAAGGAACAAAATTAATAATGAGTTTTTTTTGTTGGAAAAAATTAAAAACTAATTTAATTTTCTTGTTATTTTCATCCAGAACTCTTTAGTTTGTCGCTGAACAGCAAAACCAAAGTGCGTGGTCTGCTGGAGATCATCTCATCGGCAGCGGAGTACGAGGATGTGGTGGTCCGGCATCATGAAGAGCAGGTCCTGCGCACTCTGTCCCAGCGATTGCCGAACAAGCTCACGGGACCCAATGAAACGGCTCCAAAGTAGGTTTACTCAATAAATAATCCCCACAATTCTAATACCCTTTCCTTTACAGGTTCAATGATCCGCATATCAAGACCAACTTGCTGCTCCAGGCCCATCTTTCGCGCCTGCAGCTGGGACCTGAGCTCCAGGGCGATACGGAGCAGATACTCAGCAAGGCCATTCGCCTCATTCAGGCCTGTGTGGATGTGCTGAGCTCAAACGGTTGGCTATCGCCGGCTGTGGCCGCCATGGAGCTGGCCCAAATGGTCACGCAGGCCATGTGGAGCAAGGACTCGTATCTGCGACAGCTGCCGCACTTTAGTGCCGAAATAGTCAAGCGATGCACAGAGAAGGTAAGGAATTGCGATTCAGCTATTATTATTTATTGGGATTATTATAACTTCTTGCTTTGCAGAAAATCGAAACCGTTTTCGACATTATGGAACTGGAGGATGAGGATCGCTCGAGGCTGTTGCAGCTCTCCGACTTGCAAATGGCCGATGTGGCACGCTTCTGCAATCGCTATCCCAACATTGAGCTCAACTATGAGGTGGTGGACAAGGATCGCATCAACTCGGGCTCCACAGTCAATGTAGTGGTTCAATTGGAGCGTGAGGACGAGGTCACCGGTCCGGTCATTGCTCCCTTCTTCCCCCAGAAGCGAGAGGAGGGCTGGTGGGTTGTTATTGGCGATCCCAAAACAAATTCCCTGCTCTCCATCAAGCGGCTGACGCTGCAGCAGAAGGCAAAGGTCAAGCTGGACTTTGTGGCCCCCAGTCCGGGCAAGCACGACTATACTCTGTACTACATGAGCGATTCCTACTTGGGCTGCGATCAGGAGTACAAGTTCTCCATCGAGGTGGGCGATTTTCAATCTGAAAGCGAAAGCGAGTCGGATTAAGGCCTCTGCCTAGGGCCACTTTAACAATTAAACCTTTTCAATTGTAGACAAAGTTGAAAAGGAGAAATTATCTCTACAATGTAAGGACAAAAAACATTTTACATAAAATAAACAAAAAAATTTGAAAAATAATCTAAGGAATCTTTGCTGTTTAAATTTTTTATTTTAGGTGAAGTTGATACCACAAAATCTTAAACTGACAAAACTTTTTGGTTTTGGTTTTCAATATAGTTACATTAAAACTTTTTCCAGTTGTACAAACTTGAACGAATGGAGAATATAGACTGTGAAATGTTCGAATGCAAATTCGCGGAAACTCGACTTTACAATATTTTGATGACAAACATCATAAAAATTGGGACGTTTTGTTTTAATAATTACTTTTAATCCAAATGCCTCTGGCTTACTTTTGTTTTTAACATCCCTCGGAGCATGCAAAGAGTCAACATAATACGCAAATATGCCCTTCAACTTGACTTAATAAGTAACAAACAACATGAAAACTATTGTGATATATAGTGTGACGTGCGACAGGGATTAAAATGAATTATTAAATAAACTACTGTATGTTTCTGATTAAAATTAAAAGCACAAGAAACGGACATTAACGCATGATATTACTTTGTGTGATTAAAAAAATCTCTAGCGAACGTGACTCTGTATTTGTTACGTCCGAAATCTTTATTTTTTAATTATCTTGAAATCGGAAAAAAGCTTAAAGTCAACCCTTGCACCCGGTATAGTCCATGGCTTTACTTGATCATAAATATTTATTCAAACACATTTTCACATAGATATGCACCATTGCATTCCCAGGACAAACTAGGAGGTATGACAATTAACGGCTCACGGAAACCGCCGATCCATGGCTGCTGCCCTTATTGGCTCCTCCGTTGGCAAAGCTGTTCGTGGAGCTAAAGTTGATGGTCTGTCCGTTGGGCAGGTGATATACCTGGCTCAGTGAGGCACCAGCGGCATTGTTAGAGCCAAAGGGGCTGGTATTCTGCGACTGGGTAGCTGTGCTGGCCGAGGAGGCACCGAAGGATCCGTTGGCACTCTGCGACTGGAAACCCTGAGCCTGTCCAATGGCCCCGGAGGAGCCCGAGTTGGGTCCATTGTTGTAGTTACTGTGGGCAGCACCATTGGAGGCAGCTTGCTCCTGATTGTAGCCATTGGGTCCGAGGGGTCCGAGCGGGTTTAGTTGGACATTGGCATTGGCATTGCCGCCATTTGGCCCGGCTCCAACATCAACGCCTGCCTTGGTGCCGCCAGATCCGGCTGATGTGCCTGCCTGGACATTTGAGCCGAATCCTTGGTTGCCACCGAAACCGCCTCCGAAGCCTTTATTTCCACCAAAACCGTCTCCAAAACTTGAAGGTCCACCAAAACCGCCTCCGAAGCCCGGATTTCCAGCATATTGATTGCCGAATTGTCGTCCAAACTGACGCTTTACCCTTTTGTGGGTGGCATATATGCCCGATTCCAGAGCTGATCGCACGCGTCGCACCTGCGGATTGGACTTTGGCTTGATGTACAGGGCGGATTCCACTACCACTTCCTCAATGGTAGCACCTTTCGAGGCTGTAAAATATTTCATTGATATTAATTTAAATTTTTAAATTTATAAGAAATATATTCAATAATTTGTAAGATATTTGTAGGGATTCATAAATAAAAGAATTTTAATTTATCACTCCTTGTTTGGCCAAAGGATCTTTGCTCTTTCGGTTTAAAAGCTTTTTAGATTTCAATCTTTGTAGCCAGAGATCATGTTTAGTTTTTTAATTCGGAGTGTTTTAAGAAATTAATACATATGGCTAGAAAATCAATTTATTAACATGTAATACCTAATAATTTTTAGAAATTAATACCTTTATTTGTCTTTTTTAGTTTAAAATAATTAACACAATCTATATATTTAAAAATACGAAGTAAAACTAAACTAAACTGTATTAAATACCTCCACCTACACTTTATGCTTTTAAGGGGGTGTATATCCCCCCTTAAGGGACGCCTTAAACAACAAAAATATTTTAAAAACATAAATCACTACAACGATTTGGAATCGTTTTAAATCAAATAATTTATATTATTTTCAAGTCTATAAACCCCTTGTCAATTTTTATTGCAAAAAGTAATATAAATTTAAGACCCAAGACTTACGCAAATCCACTTCGCCGGTCTGGACCTGCTTCTCGTTCCGCTGCCTCAGTTGGGGGAATGCTGACGCGGCTCCCAGACAGACTAGGGCCACAATTAGCGCCGACGGATTCATTTCGGATTCTCGATTAGAGTTCTCTTGCTGTTGGGTTCTGGGGCTTTGGACCGATCGCAGTGCTGGACACGTCCGCTAGCTATGGCGCCTGGCGTACAACTGCTGGTCTGAATCTCCGCCTCTTCCACATGTGCCGATGCCGATCCAACTCTCACTTTTCAATCGCCACGGGGGGCGTCCCCTTTTGTTCGCTGGCGCTAATTGCTTCTATCAATATTCAAAATGTTTCGGCAAATACCAGAAAAAAACAACTGTCTTGTATAATCAAACGATTTTTGGCACATGTAACCCCAGATGCAAACATATTTAATAAAGTTGTATTGTTATGTAGGAAAAAAACACAAAACGGGTGTACAAAGGCCGAAACCGGTTTGCATCCCAAAAGCTCGCCAAGGAACTAGTTTGGATTTCTTTTGTTTTGTTTATTTTTTACGCTCTGCCTTTGGATTTCCTTTTCGGGAAACAGATGTTGCCCAGAACATTTACGGATCTCAAGAGAGGCGGAGGCGTATCGCTAGATGTATGTGGAGGGGGCATCGGCATCCCAATGAACTTCTGTCTGGGATTCTCAGTGCCGACCGATTGTCTGCCCTTCCTGCCGGCTGATAAGAGGGGCAGATCCCATTATAAACATTTTGTATATCAACTTATAATCTGACTTATGTAGTTATTTCAAAAAATACAGAAAAAAATATCATGTTTGTGTAGCTAAAAACACAAATGTAAGGGGAAAACTTAGGAAAGTCGAATTTTACATACCCTTGCAGGTTACAATTGGATCAAGGACTAAAAATGAATAATTTTCAATTCGCAATGCGGTTTGGTAATAGTCTTTTTTAGTTAAAAAAAACTGCATACTTAATTTTACTTTTAAGAAATTAAAATTGTTATCAATTTTTGAAAGTTTAACCAATCTAACTATCAAATTTGAAACAACATTTTTTTTAAAAATTCTTCTGGACATTGCTAGAAATGTTTTGCCAGTTTATGCTGATCAAGAATATATATGCTTTATAGGGTCGAAAATGACTCCTTCACTGCCATGCCAGTTTCTGAGTGACTATTTCTGAAATTTCAAACTGAAACCAAGCTTAATATGGAATACAAAAACAGACTTAAAAGTATTTTATAGTTTAAGCAACATCAATCTATTCATAAAAAAAAAGTTGGATGAAATTGGTTAATATGTCAAAAAGAATGTCTTAATATTCTATTCCCCCCAACAAATTTCTTACAAATAGAAGATTTTTGTTAAGATAAACAAACAATTTCCATTAGAAATCAAGTGTAATCTTTTTACAGTATACAGTAGTTGCAGGATAGTTAGAAAGACGAATATGATGGTTGCATTTGTAACGTTAAAATATAAACATCTGGGTTTTTGGACCAGTAATAGGCCTAATATCTTACAAAAATATCATTATCCAAAACCTGGCCAGGACTAAATTAAGTATCCTTTGTATGTATAGACTTTATGATCAACTTTAAAGCCTAAAATATTATTTTCCTCTGTTATAGACCCATCCAAGTTGCATAAATATTATATATTTCGACCAAAACTATGATTTAAAACAGAAAGATGCACTAAACCACTCAGAAAATAACGTTAAAAGTGCCAAACCGTTCCCACCTCGTAACTGCAAAATGAGTAACCGTGCCGAAAATTAATTCGAATAAACTTTATTATTTGATTTACTTTTAATCTATATCTATATAAGTATAAGATAATTGTTTTTAAACTTTAAGTATGGTGTGCAATAGGAATCGAAACACGAATTAAGACACTCACACCAAGCTTCCTTTCCTCCGAAGTGAACAAAATTAACAAAAGGGATGGATGTCTTGTTGAGATCGCTTAATCGAACAGAGATTACTAGTGTCTATGAACTAAATGGTGAAAAACAATGATCGGGAGTAAATTTAAAATTTGTTTTTGTACAACTTGAGAGTCGTGATGAGGCGCTTGAATGGTTCCTTTGTGTGGCTTTTCGTTTTGCGAGATTCTCCTTACGTCTACTAATGCTACCATGATGAAGACCGCCGGACCTTTTTCTTGAATGCTTACGCTTAACTTAAGGAAACAACGTAAACTGAGCACTGTTCGATAATAGTCGGCAGCTAACCTAGGATACGTGGTTGAGCTACTCAATGCCATGGGCGAAGATCATGACCAGGCCGGGATCAATCATGACGTCCTCAGTCATATGAAGGTTATCGCAGCTTAGCACGAGCACAGCTTGCTTGCCTGTCGGTTAATTAGCAATTGATTTAATAACACAATACATTTATTAAAGCAGCTGGAATACCTGGAATGCGTCGGCACACATAGTTGTCGTAGATCCTACGATTGGTCTGTCGCGTCTCCAGCGAACTCAGACCCCTTGGCCAGCGGCGTTCGTGGCAGAACTCCATCAGGCTATCCAGGATGTGTGGCGGACATCCCGACTCGGACAGAGCACGCTTGATCATAAGCTGTGAAACAGGAAGATATGGTGTAACATTATAATTACATTTACAATGAATTTTCCTAGATATCATACAGCGATATTTTATCTAATCTTCAAGTGATTTTTGATTGTATATTGATTGGTATATATCTTATCTTCACCATATTTACGACCCATTCAGGCATGGAAATATTAGGTATTACTCATTTTTTACCTGCAGAGCATCGTCGGGTGTAGAGATCATTCCCCCCCACCTCGTGACCCTGGCCCGGGGCAACGTGCTGCTCCAGCGGATCACCTCGTCGCGCTCCATCTGGTCGGCTATTGCCCGCATCGCCGGATTGGAGACTCTCATGGCACGCATAAAGTCCTTAAACAGCTGCAGCTCCCGCTTTAGTTCGTTGATGGTCAGCTGCTGGTCGGTTAGCTCCGATTTCAGTTCGCCCATCTTCTCCGTCTGCTTCACGATCAGGGTGCGCAGCTCGCGGACACAGTTGTGATCCTTCAGCTCGTCCTTGGGTATGTCAAAGCCGCAGCCCTTCTCGCACGGAAACGGCCGCTTGGGATTGTGGATGCACTCCTCCAGATGCGAGTTGTAAGCATCAAGCTTAAGGACGGCCGTGCAGCCATAAGGGGCATTGTCGCAGGTAATAGACAGTCTGTGGTGGGGGGAGGGACAGCGATCAGAAGGGGGTGGGAGGGAAGGAGTGACAGGCTCTCACCTGGACAGTAGGTTGCGCAATATACGGGGAACGGCGCGCAGGTTGGCGGTTGTCAGGGCGTTGCGATCCACGGGACACGTGGGCTGGCGGGTCAGCCACTCGTTGATGCATCCGCGACAGAAGGCGTGTTCGCACATCACCGCCTGTATCGAGAAACCCAAGGTAAGTGAGCTCTGTGTGTACTTTGCTCGTCGAACTACAAACAAAACAAACCTGAAGCGGATCCTCCAGCACCCCGGAGCAGATGGGGCAGGTGAGCTCCTCGTCCACCTCCCCCTGAAAGCGGTTGACATCGTAGCCCATCTCAGTGCTCGTGTTCGCTGCTCAGGCCATTCATCCGCCCGAATAAACAATTTATTTACACCGTTTTTCCGCGGATTGCAAAATGTTTCTTTTTTTGTTTTACACTGTCCAGAGGTGTGACCTTTTCGGGTTATTCAAGTAATACCAGCGGCCAGTCTAGAAACATGAGCAAGGATGGTCACACTCCGTTGCCCAAAGTGCATTATTTGAATAGTTAAATTTTATATATCTTGAACATTACAAAGCTATAATAAAATACAAATTGAAAACATATAAATATAGTACAACAAATAATTGGGTTTTTGAGGTATTCACCTGATATAAAAATACTTTATAAAATGTTTAGTTCAATTTATATAGGAATTGTACTAATGATCATTAAAATATTAATAAAAATTTGTTTTTGCTTAAGAAATTTCATTTATATCTTATCATTGATCAATATAATATCTATATATGTATATATTATTGGTAAAAAGAGGAAAACATTGATTGGGAAATAGATTTATTTGTAGTCATAATTTGTTCAAATAATTTTTTGAATAATTTCAAAATATTATAGAAATTTGTCTGCCTTTTTATATATTATATGACTCAATTATTTAGTAGATTTCCTTTCCATTGACCACGTCATCGTGCTCCTCTTCCCGAATAAATCAAAGTAAATTTTACAAATAAAACTGCTTTATGATTAAAGTAAAAATATAAATATATTCAACAGTCTGGACCGTTCACTATTTGGTATTGTTATTTTGAAATTCGTACAGTGAGGAAATTAAACTAAAAAACTAACACAACACAGTTCAACGACAACATTTAACGCACTCTTATTCAGATATATCCCCTTTGTGCCCCGCACCCTTCTATATACTATATCTCGTTCCGATCCTTCCAGCCGTACTTCTGGCGCTGCTGCTTCTCCCGGCTGTTCCACTGCTGCTGCTTATGGTTGCCATTGGACGAGGAGGAGGACTTCCCGGGGGCACAGTAGCAGGATCGCTTCTGGCAGTCCAGATACGACCGGCAGCCCAGGGTCAGGGTGCCCGTGAAGAGCATCTTGGCCGCCGCCTTGCAGCCCTTGGTCATCAGATCACTGGCAATGGACTTCTCGTAGCTGTCGCAGTACTTGTAGAGACACCTCTTGAAGTCGAGGTCGCACAGCTCCTTATCGCTATTGCAGGTCTCGTAGCAGATGTCGTGGGCATTGCAGCAGGTTTCCATCTCCGCCGCCGGCAGGTAATCCGTGCTGATACGGAGTCCCAGGGAGCCACAGCCATCGGCCGTTGGAGTATAGAACTTGTTCTGCACTGCCCGCGGCGCTATAAAGGAGAGACGGGAGAAAACATATAGCTAGGTGCCGGGCCCTTTACATAATTCGAACGGCATTTGCGTCACAAAAAGACACACACCTGGTCCCCCGATATCCGGCGCCGGGCATTGGTACACGCAGTTCTCCTCCACGGCGGCGTCAAACACCTCGTGGACAGTCCGGAACTTGCGCACGAGAACTATCATGTTCTTGAACACGTCACCAAAGATAGCCTCTGCTGCAATAATGGCATCCCTTAGCTGAAATCACGGCGAGGGGAGAAGACAGAGGAATACAGATTAGCATCTCCCTTACAGATCCCCCAAAAGAAGACTCTTACATGAACTATGGTGCTCGAAC